AATATTATATATTTGATTATATTAATATTAAATAATATTATATTATATTAATTTATCTTATAATATATTTATACTAATTTTATTATATTATACTATAAATATATATATAATATATAGTATATTTTATTATATTTATTAATTATTGTTTTTATTCATTTTCAATTATTATTGTTTTATTCATTTTACTTTCCAGTTATTATTAATTATTTATTAACAATTCAATAATATATTATATTTATATTTAATAAATATTGACACATCTTCTTCTGTTGTCAGGCTTTTTATTGGATTTTATATCAGGACCAGTTTCGGTCGGTTTCACATCAGCAGCAGCAATTATTATAGCTACTAGCCAAGTAAAAGATATTCTAGGCATTCATATCGGCGGTAGCAAATTCGTCGAAGTATGGCAAAATATATTTGAAAAAATTGGGGAGACGAAGCTTTGGGATACTGCATTGGGCATCTCGTGTATAATTATCCTTCTTCTTCTCAGAGTTAGTATTATTTCATCGTTCAGTGGAAACTAACACAAGTAGATCCTCATAAAAGTAATTTTTTAAATATATACAAAGTAGATTCATCTTTCTTCGTACTTTCTGCCGAGCTATCTACATACTTGCAATGCAGACGTGTGACTTTTGTCGCAATCTCACTGTGATCATATATCTTCCTTTGTTTTACGAGTTAAGAACGACGAAGTAGACACATGATCGCAGCGAGATTGCAACGATGAAAGTTGCACATCCGCATCGTGCTTTACGTCTAGTGAATGATTCGTCGAATTATGTTGCTTACAAATTAATTCCTTGCTATTACACGTGTTACTTTTACATACAAACATTATTGACTGTTTAATATTTTTTGAATATCATTCAACATCATATACATATGTATAAGATGTATATGTATAAGACATATGTATACGATACGAATGTACATTAATTAAAATTTATTCACACGATTCAAATTAAAATTTTTCATAAATTGTAACTACCGAAATCTTATATTTTATATTTTCACGTATTATCATCGGCGATTTTTTACTCAACTACTACCCACCTTATACCTTACCTACTTTTTATAGAAAAATAAAATAAAGAATATTTTTTGTATGATTTCTTTTTTTCAGAAAATCAAAGACATACCGTTTATGAAAAAGGCTGCAAAAATGTCATCAAGAGCACAAGTAATTATGCAAAAATCACTCTGGTTGCTGTCTACAGCGCGAAATATTCTCGTGGTCCTCGTGTGCGGCGTTATGTGCTGGCTTTTAGAAAGTCACTTAGGTTCTTCGCCTGTTAGACTGACTGGCCACGTTAAACAAGGACTTCCGGAATTTCGGCTACCACCATTTCAAACCTACCACAAGAACGAAACGTACGATTTCGTCGACATGGTTTCCGCCCTCGGCTCTGGATGTCTAGTCGTTCCTTTGTTGAGCCTGTTGGAAACCATTTCCATTGCCAAAGTTTTTAGTAAGTTTCATAACAAACGTTTTTCACCAACTACACAATTCATTTTCTCTAAATAAAATATTTCTTTCCGAATATACTTATTGTAGTAATAATTAATTTAGCAAAAAATTAGAGAATTCGATAAAAATTATTTGGAAATAGATCAAATAACAGAAGAAAATTTAATCAGTCAAAGAGTATCTTCTGAAGATCAAATGTCTTTTTTCGCGAATCTTATTACACATATCACAAGGCTTTATTTAAATGAACTTTCTCTGCACAAGTGTAAAATATTTGAATTTTAAATGTGAATATATTGAGACCGTTTTTAAACATGACTCGCTATTCAGATTTGTAACTTACCAGAAACACAGGATTTGCTTCCAATGTATCAATCACAAATTATTATAACAGAATATAAAAGTGAATATCATAAATTTTGACCTTGACTTTATTCTGAGACCATATTATCATACATTAGCCAAAAAATCGAAGTAACGTGTTTTACTTAAGGACATCCTAACTGTCTTGAAATTGAAAAAATACAAAATGTAGGAGATTAACTTTAAAAATTAGTAATTTTCATCTAACAACAAGTACAGTCAATACGTTTACATAGAAGATAATTAGGAAAAGATAAAATCTGGGTAAAAAGTGTTTTACATACAAAATATTATATGCGAATATTATACTTTAAATTTTTTATATATTTTTGTATATTACATGTGTTCTTTGCATATTTGCACTTTCAAGTTTCCCATAAGTGCATGAGAATCCGTGGTCAAATAATGAGTAACTGATTGTTCAAATACTCTGATGCTATCTGCAAAGTGCATACTTTATAAAATATATAAATAAATATCTCGAAACTACTATGTATGTTTTCATATTCGTTTTAATTTTTGCTAATGTAGTCATAACAATTGTATCGATTATCCTAGATGAAGGTAAACCAATCGATGCAACTCAAGAAATGTTGGCTTTGGGCGTGTGCAACGTTGTGTCGGCTTTCGTTTCTTCGATGCCTGTCAGCGGTGGCCTCAGCCGAGGTGCAGTAAACCATTCCTCTGGAGTAAAGACAACTCTCGGCGGTATCTATACTGGCCTTCTAGTACTCGTGTCGCTTCAGTTCCTCACCCCATACTTATACTTTATTCCTAACGCCGCCCTTGCTGCAATCATCATCGCGGCGGTCATCTTTATGGTGGAATTACATGTGATCAAGCCTATATGGCGAACAAAAAGTACGTTGTATTATTAATCCCTCTTATTTTTCAAGTAATATCAATATTATTTTGCAAATAAAGTATTGCGCCGCTTCAGCCTGTAAATAGTATTTATTGCTAAATAAATTAAATTAGTTATGAACTAGCTTGATATCATTTATACTTATGCTCATCCTTATATCTATTCTTATTTAGCTAAGGTTTTTTAAAATTTGTAAATGTGACTTCTTAAATTATGAATTTTAAAGAATCATAACTAGACTGTGGATGTTTATACATTTTTGAAAAAATGCAAGAAAGCGTGTAATGTAAACATATATAAAATATCGAAGGTATAGTACCCATTATAATATTTTATGAGTAAAATAAACTTTTACTTAAGTTCTGCTTCTTTAAATTTGTTCGCAAGTATATGAATTTACATAAACATTCGCAGTCTGGTCATAGCTCATGGTTAAATTAAATACTCTGAAAGTACTTTCTTGTATTTAGTTTAATTTTAAGAAACGATATTCTACGAACTTAAAAAACATCTTGTAAACGTTTTTAATAACGATTGTATAAATTTCTATTAATTGAAATAGAAGTTTAATAAATAGGTATAGAAGGTATAACAGAATAAATATAGAAGTTTGCTAACACAAGAATATATATATATATATATGTATATATATATTCTAAATTGTACTACATACTAAAATATAGAAAACAGACGGGAATAAAATCACGTTGTAAAATATAAAAATGTTTATAGTACTCTGTGTAATGATTAATGTAATTAATACATCATTTCTTTTTCAGAAATTGATCTCATACCAGCAATAGCTACATTTCTATGCTGTCTTTTTATAAGACTTGAGATAGGTATAGTGATTGGTATCGGTATAAACGTTCTGTTCCTACTTTACGCTTCAGCGAGGCCGTCGTTAAGAGTTCATAAAGATACAGTAAGAATGCTTTTATATCTTAATATACTTATTAACTAACTTTCTCTATATAAAAATGAAATATCAATGTAATAGTAAAGAACAAAAATATTTTCATGTCTTTCATTCATGATATTTTTTATTACGCTGTTTCCTTAATAATATGATATTTTTGTTTCAGAGTATTAACGGCTGTGAATATCTTGTCATAACGCCTGACAGAAGTCTCGTTTTCCCGAGCGTTGAATATGTGCGAGCTGTAATTAGTAAGCAAGGTACGAAACAGGGAACCGCAGTACCTGTTGTCATAGATTCTACGCATATTCAAGCAGCAGATTTTACAGCCGCGAAGGTACACTATGAAATACTATCTGTAAAGTATCTGCACTAACATTCAAGTTATAAAATTATTATAATTTATTAAAATTTATTTCTATGCTATAATTGATATACTTATTATTTAGGGAATTAAAAGTTTGACGGAAGATTTTTCTAAACGTGGACAGCCTTTAATTTTCCATAATTTGAAACCAAGCATTATAGAAATTTTCAAAGGTGTAAAACCTTCTGGTTTGAGGTGTAGCTCTAGCGAACTTGAACTTAATGACTGTTTGAAAGGTAATTAAAATGTTATTACTTTTTACATAATATGTTGAGCAATTAAATAACTGATTTGTTCAATTTTATGTAAAAATGTATGATTTATATAAAACTTTTATTTATTTCCAGAATTTTCAAATATTTCGTCGGCTTCTATGAACAGATACTGACAATATTTAGACTTCTATAAATTCCGTCCCGGAAGTACTCTTTCTTTAGTTTATATGTATCAGTATTATATTAAGACGAAGATGGTCAATATGTTAGACAATATTATGATAAAAAGCAACAATCTTATTTTATAATTAATTGTTACTTTGTAACAATTACATATTTTAATATGTAACAATTAACCCTTTCGACACAATGTTATACTATACGACGATATTTCACGTACATAAGTACTTCTGCATTACAAAACGAAAATTCTGTTTTCTTAAAAATACATATGATACACATTAGTAATATAAAATAATTTTAAAATAATTTAAAATTTACAAGAAAATATATGAAAAGATTATATATACTACATCGATATTGTGCCAAAAGGGTTAGATTATAAGTAGGATTATAAAATGTACATTGGCTCACGAAAATATTTGAACATTTATCAGAGAAATCCTTTATGCCCATATTATGCGTGTTATATACGAAATTTTGGAATTTTATCAACGAGATATTTATTACAAACATATATATGTATATATACATATCTTGTAGATTATATACATCTTGTAGAATGTTCTGAATATCTTTTAGAGTACAATTAAGTCTCAGAGCAACAATGCTAATGAAATTTCAAAATGTTTCATATAACACACATAATATATTTACAAAAGATCTCTACAAATGTTTGAATACATTCGTGAACCTGTGCATATACAAACATAAATGAATACATTGACGCAAATTCACGTAAACTGTCAATAGTATTTTACATGACTTTTTATACAGACGCATTATTTGTACATGCTATTTAAAAATTACTCCTTATTACATTTAACATATGTTAATACTTCATATCATTTCAAAAAATATTAACAAATATTAAAAAATGTTTCAGGCACATTATTCTAAGTTTTAGATAATATCCCATAAAAATCAAAATTTCAATAAAACCACTAGTAGGTATACATATTTTTCTAACAATACATCATTTTTTTCTAAAATTAAACAAGCCTGTTTAATATAACTATGAAAATAAATTATAAATCTTTTTAATTAGATTTCTCCAATAACATGACTTTTTATCAGTTAAAACTAAATAATTACTTCCCATTATCATATTGTTTAATTTATATCCAGGATTCTTGCACCCATTGCAGGGCTTGCTATATAAAATGTTGCATTTCCAGAATACCTATAATAAACAGACATTTATAAACATTGTTGTGTAAAGAAAAAGGAAGAGAATTATTTAAGAGAAATATTTAAGGAAAAAATCTAACTTGGCCTTCATATGATTAATTGCTTCGTCAATTACATCTTTTTTCAATAATGTTACTGTACACCCTCCAAAACCAGCACCAGTTAAACGACTTCCTAAGACACCATTTACTGCTCTTGCTGCTGTTACTAAAGTATCTAGCTCAACAGAAGATACTTCATAATCTTTCTTTAAAGAATCATGACTCTCGTTCATTAACTGTCCAAATTTATCAAAATTTCCTTTTTCTAGGGCATCTGCAGCATCAATTGTTCTTTGAATTTCTGTTACTACATGACGAGTTCGTTTTATCATTTCTTCAGGTACATTCTGTGATTTTAAAGCTAAAAATAAAATCAACATAATAAACAACACAATTTTGCCTTGTAACATAATTGTATTTATTTTCTACCTTGAATATCACTCATAGATATTTCACGCAAACTTTTTTTATTTAACCTTTTTGCAGCTTCATAACAACAATCTCTGCGCTCACAATATGCGCTTGAACTTAATTTATGAGGAGCATTAGAGTTAGTAATTAGAAAGATATAATCATTCATTTGTGACATAGGTATTTGTTTAGTACTAAGATCTTTACAATCAAGAAGAAGAGCATAGCCTTCTTTACCCATTACAGAGATAAACTGATCCATGATGCCACATGGAACTCCAGCAAAATCATGTTCAGCACGTTGACATGCTAAAGCCTGAAAGATATAAGCTTTACATTTCTCTAATTTAGTAAAATTATAATTTATAAAATATACTCTGTCATTATACTTTATCCTCTGGCTTTTCTGATTTTATACCAGTTAATGCTTCCAAAAATGTGTAAGTAGCAACTTCTAAAGCAGCTGAACTACTCAGACCAGCACCAACTGGTACAGAGGATACAATCACAGCATTAAAAGATGGCACATCACCTAAAATCAATGTTTTAATTAAATTATACAATAGAATTCTTTTATTACATTTTGGTAAAATGGATCAAAATAATGAATAAACTAACAAATAAAATTTGCTATACATCCTTTTACATAATTAGCCCATTTTGGTTCTCCTGGTTTTATACTCTTATGAGACCTAACTTCAAATTCAACATAATTTTCAGAACTAACTATTTCACTAAGGGAAACAATTTTACATTTATCCACATTGTTACGTTTTCCAACTATGAGTGTAACCATGGGCAATGCCTAAAAATATGGAAAACGTTACGCTTTATTCCATTATTGGTATTTGTTATATCTCAAATAATTTAATGATTACATATTTTCATTAAATACAAACATACTTATAACTTCTACTTTTAAAAATCGAGTAACAATTTAATTAAAAGACATTATATTGTTAATATAACTAAATTTTCTGCAAAAATAAAACAATTTTTAAAAGTCGTATATAAATAAAATAATACTCTAAAAAGTAATACATATTTAGGACTTTAATAGATAATAAATCATTAAAATTGTCTAAATTTTTAACACCCGAAATTAATACATATATATAATATATTAATAATAATGATATAAATATATATTTATTTATTTATTTATAAAATATATAAATTTAACAAATTCTGTGTGAAAATTCAATTATTAGGTAATTAATAATTTTTAATAATCTATTTCTCATATTCAATAATATATTAGAATCGATGTACGCATGTATTATAAAAAATAACAGTAGTTCATATCGATAGAAAATTAAAAAATCAGATGAATGTATGATTATACGATAATAATTGATAAGAGATAATAAGATACAAATCATAATATATCTTTGCTCAACTAAATTTTGTTATCGATAACTAGTGAAACAAATTTTTAACGAATTAAACAAATCTATTGTTTGAAAATGTCATTTCTTATTTAATGTTATTTATTAACATACATATTTGATTAAATCGATTACTGGATGATAATGAACTGATTGGATCTTTAAATATAATACATTAATGGCATGAAAAATAAGGAGTTAAGTATAAATAAGTTAGATATAATTTGAAATCAGCGTTACTTCTCCCGAACAATAACGAGTTCTGTAAAATATATTTTCCGATTAATCACGAAAAACAGTAATTACAGATTTAATAATTTTGTGTAATATACAAAGAAACGTAGTATTTATATAAACATCAAAAATTTTACCATCGGTAGAACAAAACCTTCATTGTAATCGGTATGCTCTCCAATTAAATTCACCCGACCGGGTGCGCACACACAAACATTCGCATTCTCCCTAAATTTATTCGCAAAAGCTTCTAAAGCTCTCGATTTAATTTCATTCACATTAAGCACAGTTGTTGCCATTTTTACCGATTATTTCAAAACTATTTATATGTAAAGTTACTTAATATACAAAATATATAAAAATTTTAAAAAGATAAATGCAGTGGAATCTATGAATTTAATTTTACGTAACTCACAACACGGTAAAAATACGAACTGATACGAATATAAGTACAATACGCTTCAAACGGATAAAATTGGTATTAAGCACACGTACACGTTATCAATACATCAACTTTGATTATGTGTGCAGTTACATGCTTGGAAATGTACGCTTTATCGTATCGTTAATAACAATGCAACTATTCTGCGTGTATATGCATACAACATGCGCACCACAAATGTAACAGAATTCGTAAAAGTGACATTTGATGTATTAAGAGCATCATCTCATGCTATTAAAAGAATAATACATGACTAAAATGATATCTCTTTTAATTGTTAATAATTTCTAGTTGATATCTAATTTATGTAATGAACTAATTGCCGATATTTGACAATAATCTGTATTGATAATGCCATGACGGTCTCAAATCCCCTTATTAAAGAATTGAAAGGTAATTAAACAATGTAACGCTTTTATAGGTTAAGAAATTAATAATTCATTAAAAAAATTATTATACAATGATTTCTTTATAAACTTTATATTTATCTGAATTTTAAACCTTTATTGTTAGAATTACAAAATTCTTGAATTAATTTCCAAAGATATATTTCCATATTATTTTCTATTTTGTTAAATAAAGATATAAATGCAATGTAAATAAAAGATATTTAAAATGTAATCAAATATTAGTATAAAATAGTATAATAAAATAATTTATTTTTGCAACATTGGTTTGTTATCTATTATTTAATTCATTAATATTAAAAATTTTTAGATCATAATCATACTTTCATCCTTATTCTTTTTTATTATATTATAAATCTTGTCAATATATCATTAAACATGATGAAATGATGTCACATGATACTATTAAATAAAAAAAACAATTTCAGGCTGGACAAGAAAATTAACTGAAAGTAACATTGAGATTGATGAAGAAAATAAAGACCTGCCCTTCTTTTTTAAATGTTTAGAAAGATGTTTCCAGAAAGGTATATTGATGCGTTTAAATCCCATAGGATTTCCAAAATTACCCGATGCTTGGTATTGGATGGAAGAAATTGCAGAAAAACATTTTAGGTTTGCAAAAAGATTTGTAATAAATAAAATTTATTATAGGTTATTTAATTCTTTTCTCACTACTGTAGTATTTTAAGAAAATAAGAACATTTGTATTTATAAATTTTAATTAAATCTCTATTATAATATTTCAATATTTAAAACTTAATGTTAATAGCTAAAAACTTAAAATTAAAAATTAATAACATTATTTTAGTTCCTCTTGTACCTATTCTTTGGTAGTCGAACAAGTCACACAAAATCCAAAAGTGTACACACCTACTGGGCATCTCAGGCTTTTAATTAAAACATGTTTAATGCGAAAGTGCCTTCATATGCCAGTTGAAATGCTAGTGTGTATAAATGATATTTAATATCTTAAATAAAATGTATATTTCTGATTCTATATAATTATCATTATGTTTTTATAATTTATGTATGTAAAACTTCATAGGTCAGAACACCATTAATGGCTACTGATTATTATGATAAAAACAGTATTCTGGGAGATAATATTCTTGGAGAAATATTTTTATCAGTATTACTGCAAAGCAGTAAATTAAATTTCAAATTAAATTTACGGAATTGTAGTTTTTTGGATGAATCCTGGCAATTACCAGAATGTTTAGCATTGGAATTAGTACCATGTAAAAGTTTAGGTATTTCTGTATGGTAAGAAAGTTACATTAGTAAAAACAAATGTTCATTGTGAATAATATTTTGTATTATTACAGTTTTACCAAAGGGAGAGCTTTAATAGTTAATTTAGATAAAGACTCTGTAGCTGCAGAAGATGTAATAAACAGAATAATTTTTTAAAATTTCTATATACATACATAATAAAATTTAAGACTCTAACTGTCCTTTACCTTTTACTTTTATTAGGATAAAGTTGAAATTGGAGATATATTAGATGAAATAAATGGAAATGCTATAACATCTAATACCAAAGGACAATTACGTAAATTTATGAGAAAAACTATAGGTCAACCAGTATATTTATATGTAATTAAGGTAAGGTATATTCAAATAATATAACACTTAAGCATATAATATATACCCTACATATTCCTTACATCATACATTTTCAGCACCGCAATAAATCAACCTGTGAATTATATGCACCAATTGTTCATCTTATAAGAAGCTCGGGTATTGAGGGATTAAAACAGATCTTAAAAAGATTTAATTCTGAAATACAAGATGAGAATGAGAAAACTGAAATGATTAAGCCACAAAGTAAATCACTAAATGCTGGATTTTCTGTTAAATACTGTGGTTCAATATATATTGGTACAAAAGGCGATGTTAAACAAATTGAAAGAGCAATTTTGCAAGTACTAAAGTCAGAAGAAGTGAAGTCAGTACCTGTGAAATTTGAATGTTTAGAACTAGGAATTAGGGTGACTCAGGATTCGAATGATGCAGTATGTAAATATAATTTTCATTATATGTAAGATTATGATATCATGAGAATACATTCTAATTCAATGTTTAGATAATATGTAAACAGAGTTACATGGAAATTTCATCTTGTGGTCGTACTGGAAACATTCCTAATTATTTTGCATTTATTGCAGGGTAAGATGAACTGTAATAACTGTCATATATTTTTGTTTTAATGTAAAAAATAATAATAATTAATATTAAACCATTTTATGGAATTTATAAGCTTTTAATTTATTTTACAGAGACACTAATTGCAATTTAGCAACCAAATTTGATGCATATGTCTTTTATCATCAAAATGAAAGCGAAGTGCAAACTATATTACAAAGTTTGGGTCAAGGATTCCAACGCACTCATTTCGCAGTTTAATGCTTTTAAACGAGAGAGATTTATACAGAATTATTCTTTGACATTCAAATCGAACTTTATGTAATAATATGTTCCTAAAATGTTTCTATTCACATATCTAGTCAATTCCAAATGAATTATGCTCTCTATTTATTTTATTCCTTGAGAAATATTCCTTTCTAATAAAAATTGTTCCAATCATGTTGAAACTAAATAGTTTCTTGAAAAAGTAAATAAAATTGATTGTTTCATTTTTTGAAATAAAGTAAAAATATTTATGTGTAATTGAATAAATATAATATAATTATATTTATTTAATTAAATAAGGTATTACTCTTTATTGTTTATTAAATATTTGCAAACTATAGACATAGATATATTTATTTGACAATCAATCCTGTATATATACAGAAAATTGAATAAATTCATTAAAATTTACGCATATATTAATTTGATACATATAAATAATATTAATATATATTGAATTTTATATTTCTCAATAAATTAAAAAAGTGACTCCATTAAAGAATCCTTATTTTTTCACAAAAGCAAAGCATTAATTCCTTGTTACTTCATATGATTATGAGCTATACATCTGTCAAATCGTACATGAAACCGCTCCCAAATAAGATAAATTTATCAACTAAACTTTACATACATATGTGCATGTATCATATATACACATTTCATACGCAAACTATACGTAAGTGCTTTATAAATACGTATAAATGTATACTTGATAAGGTACATATTAGATAAAAATATATTTTGACATATGGTTTGAAATGACGATTGAGAAAAGATTGAGAACAATTCTCGATTTGGGAAAAGTCGATAACATCTCGATCGGTGAGAACAATCAAAACTAGTCAAAAGGCACCTAAAATCGGTAGTTTTTAAGTCGGGGTTGGGGTCGGGTTCGGGGTCGGAGCCAAGTTCCTTGCTTGCGACGTGCGCCGTAACCGTTGCGCCGTGTAACTTTCTGTCAGCCGTCGTCGGCAGAGAGCGAGTATTCAGTGATTAGAGGAAAGATGGCTACGAACTTTGGCGTAGAGTGTCAGTACTTTTACGAGGATGTCGTCTATCGTGTGGATAAGAAAGGTAATGTTGTGTTCGGAATTGTTATGGAAAATGACGACCAAGATTTGTCCGAAGAAAGTTCTGACAGCGAAGAGAGCCAAAAGAGGAAAAAGGGCGAGATTCGCGTGGTCTGGCATCCCTCCGGTATCGAGGAGTTGGTCAGCTCGAAGAAGGTATTTAACAATTAACACGATACGCAAATACATCGCTTAAAAATAGTAGACTATATATAAATTGGTTATTAATATTTCATTACATTATTACCTTTTTCTTATTGTATTTGTTTCTAATTCTATGAAAAGCGACACCTGTCATACCAACGAATCTGCAATTGAATGTTACATTCAAATTTGAATCCATATCTGATATAATAACTGTAACTGTTTATTGTTGCAAGAATATCAGGGTTTCTAAAAATGAATTTTTTTATTTATAGGTACATTTAGCAGATAGAACACTTATGCCAGGAGATGTTGTACGTCGGATGATCAAAGGAAAGGATACACAGAGAGGATACTGTAGGGATATTGAGCTTACTGCCTGTGTTCAAGTGATTGGTACTAAACAAGTGCTTACCAATATTAGGAGCGAAGATTTAGTTCCTTTGGAAGTATGTAATCATACATTTATAGCTGTTATTTTTATCAAAGTAACTCATACATCATGATTAATAGTTTATGTTTATAGGAATTTGCAACGGATATAGCTGTTTGTATGGATTCATGGGTTGGTGGCATAAAAATGGCAAATTTTAAATTGTGGCTTACTACACCCGATGGATCTCGTTGTGTCATAAATGAAACAGATTCTCGTGTTTTAGGACAATTAGAGGAGAGACGTGATAATGTAAGAATTAAATCCAGAATAATTATTTGATTAAAACTACAATGAAAATTTTTTAGGATAATGATTTTCCTCATTCTTCTGAATTTTATCCTGGTCAAAGTTTGTGGGGACCAGTTCACTGCCTAGAAGATGCACAATGGATTACATGTACAAAAGAAATGAAAGCAAAGAGAAAATCTAAACCACAGAAACTAACAAAGGTAATTGTAGAAAAGGTAGAAACAGATTGGGTAGGAGTGCATTGGCAGTGTAGAGCATATTCAAAGGATGGTGCTTGGTTAGATCAAGCTCAACCAAAATTCGTAGTTGAAGGAGAAAATTTGAAGAAACTAAAATTATTGAATGTTTTTGAACCATCTACTGTGCAAGTGGGAGATCGAAACTTTTATGTAATTAAAAGTGATGAAAATGTCATTACACGAGAACAATGGAGAAAACAACAAAGAGACATTTTTCAAGTTCCTAAACATAGTCCAAAGAAAACACGTCCAAATATCAGTGTGACAAAGCCAGTTGAAGATAGAAAAAAGGAGAAGGATAAAGATAAACTTAATGAACAGCAAACATTAGAAGAGAATGCTCATAATAATATTAACAATTTACAAAATATTACAAGCAATAATACTCTAATGCCTCCAGTACAAAACCAGAATACTGAAAGTTCAGATGATTGGGATACAGAAGATACTGGATCGCAAAGTGACAGTGCTTCAGTAAGATTTTTTATTAATCTTTTCAATTAATATCTAGTCAATGATAAACGTAAGATAATGAATGAAGATAATAAATTTTAATATTTCCAGGTATCTAGTGGATGTTCTAGCATGTCATCCATGGGTAAAAAGAAAAAAAGCCCAGCTTTAATGACAAAGGTTCTGAAAAAGAAAAAGTTATGCAAGGCAAAGAAGAAGATTCCACCAGCTCCATTGATTCCAGGGACTAAAATTGTTGTGGAAACATTATCTACAAGTACAAAAGCTAATGTTGTATGGCAAGATGGTTCAGTAGAATTTGGTAAATTTTATAAATAGCTGTTTTGATGATGTGTTACTTTTCAGTAATATAAAATTTGTATAACTTCTATTTCTGCTTTTAGGTATTCCATCAACACAACTTTATCCGATTCATCACTTAGATGATAAAGAATTCTTCCCTGGTGATTTTGTAGTTGATCAAAAGGAAGAGTCTAGAATGTATGGTGTAGTTCAAAGTGTTGACCATCAGGGTAGAACAGCTAAAATAAAATGGTTTAAAACATACACTTCTACTCAAAGTCCGCAGTAAGTATATTTACTACTGATACATTTTTCATTGTAACTAATGGAATTTATTGGAAAAATATAATATTAAACTTGATAAATATTTGTTAGGCCAACTTTACTAGAAGAACGTGAAGTCAGTGTATATGATTTAAAAGATCATCCAGACTTTCAGTACAGACCAGGTACATTAGTAATTCGAATAGCTAATTTTGAAGGAGAAGATGCTGGATGTACTGCTGGTCAAGTGCTAGATAATTATCCGGAAGGACGAGTTAAAGTGTGGTGGGTTGATGGACATGTAAGTATGTGTTGGCCTCAAGATTTGTATAAAGTAGGTGAATATGATAGTGACGAAGGAGAACTTTGGGATGATGTATCGTCTGACGCGTCATGGGAAACGGAATTGGAAGACTGGTATATCGCCGATACCGATGGTACAGAACAAACAGAATTAGAAAATATAAAACCAAAGCTAGCCGCACACATCGAAAAAGCTCGCATTGCAATGTCTAGACTGGAAGAGATTTTCACTCAAAATCCCTCACTTCAGACAACCGAAGTTATGAGAAAATTATTAGAAGTTTATAAAGATTGTCGATACATGGATAAACTTATGGGTACCTCTTTCTTCCATGAATGTCATTTTCAAGGACTTCTGGAGAGAGTCCGTGAACGTGGTCGTGCAAATGTAGCGCAACGTATGGCGGATCAAGTAACAAGATTATTTACGCATAAATCTGATGGATCAGAAGAAAATATAGAAAAGAACAATATAGAAAATTCCAATAATATACAATCAGGAAGTAATCCTTGTGAAAAGATCATTACCACTGTAACGGATATGACAGAATCCATTGATCATAAAAACGACGAACCCAGCAATAAACAGAATGTAAAAGGTGAAGAATCAATTAATCGTTTATTTATTAATGTTAATCCTAATCCTGAAGATTCTGGATTGTATTCTGCAGAAAATTCAAAGAAAGAGTCGGGTTCGAGTGACTCAAGTGGCGAATTTCTACTTAGCGAGGATGTGAACAATGTACCTGATCGTTCAATAGAGAAATCAGAAATGAATAAAACTTCCAAAACTCAGATGCACATAACAAGTTCTCACGTGGCTAGTTCTCAAGTTTGCGTTAAATTGTGCACTTTAATAAAAGCTCAACTTGTACTAGCGCATGCAGAAGTTTCTAGACGATTTGGGTTATCAAAGATGTCATTATCCGATGCCGAAAAAGGATCGTCTCCTTTGAAGAAGCAGAAGAAAGAAGAAGAAAAACGTATAGAATTGTTACAAGAACCATCAGAATATTCCATAGAAATTCCACCACCAATATATACAGAAGGGGAAGGATTTTCTATAGAAGAAACAGCACCAGATAGTCATAAATTTAAATTAACAATGTTTCAGCCTACAGATCCTACAAACTTTTTCAGAACTGTTTCCAAGGAATTAAAACTTTTAAAAAGTTCACTTCCACCCGGTATATGGGTAAAGGGATTTGAAGATAGAATAGATTTATATTCTGTAATGTTTCGTGGACCTGAGAAAACACCATACGAAGATGGTCTTTTTCTTTTTGATTTTCAATTATCTGCCGATTATCCTGCTGCTCCACCACTTTGTCATTATATTTCTTACTGTAATGATAGGTTAAATCCCAATCTGTATGAGGATGGTAAAGTTTGTGTAAGCTTACTTGGAACATGGTCTGGCCGTGGAACAGAAGTGTGGACAAGTTCCTCAACTCTCTTGCAAGTTATAGTCTCGATTCAAGGCCTTATTCTCGTACCAGAACCATATTTTAATGAAGCTGGATTCGATAAACAAAAAGGCTCTCAACAAGGAAAAGAAAATTCAAGAATGTATAATGAAATGGTTGTACTAAAATTGGTTCAAGCACAGACTAAGTTATTACAACATCCACCACCTGTATTTAAAGATATTATTATTGAACATTTCAAGAGGCATGCAAACAAATTATTGCAACGTTTAGAGTTGTGGATGGAAATTTCTGAACAACATAATAATCAACACCCATTATCTCCAGTAACACCTACTACTTTTAAACAAATATCTGACGTTGGTATGTTGTAATTTTTTTTTCTTTTTAATCTATGAAAACTTGCAGTCGATAATTTTAATAATTACTTTTTTATCCAGATAACAAAATTTTACCAGAATTTCCATTAATACCAGCGTCTAGAGGTTTCTGCATAACACTCCGTAAAACTTTAGCTATATTTAAAGAAGTGCTGATTAAAGAGGGTATTATAGAAAGAAACAGCGACGTACATACTTGGGAAAATATCAAGGAGCAAACAAAGAGCGAGGATCACGAAACAAGCAAAACTGCTGACAGTAATACAATGGAACACGACAGTAAAAAAGAGATCAGTGAAGGAAGTTCCAAATTAAATCCAAACGGTAGCCTATCAAAGGACCGTGTATCATCTTCGTCCACGAATATTTCCTCTACATCACTAAGCGAAACGAAGAAAATTACGTTGGATCATACCATCAGCTAGCCACAAGGTAAACCTAAATTTAAACCAAAATATTTAGTTCGTAAAAGATACACGATTATTCGGTAATACATTCAATTAATTTATTATGTATATATATAATATATATATATTATTATATATAATAATATATATATTAATATATATTAAAGATATGTTCAATGATGTTCGCGGTATTTATTTATTAATATGAACACCACTTCTAACAAGCGATAACTTTTAACAGAAACGCCGCTGTCATTGCTCCGCAGCTAGAGATATTTGTTACTGTAGAGTAACCACATAGTAACGTAATAAATACGATCATATAGGCATGTATGAACAAATAAGATCTTGTTCTTGTATACAATTTCGTAAATTTCTGAGATATATTACACAATTTAATTTATGATGTTATATAGAATATATAATAATAAAAATACATATATGTATATTATATATAATACATAATATTATAATATTTACGAATATAAAATTAATATTTGGTCACGGGATACTATATATGCATTTAGTTCTATAATTCTGCAATGAAAATAGAAGGCGTTTCTCAAAAACGCAGTTTGACTGAATTATTGAAACAAAGAAACAAGGAAGGAGAAAATAATGTCAAATATTGAATAAGCGAAAAAGTATTGTCACTGCATAAAGAATGAGAAAAATTAAAATGAAGAAATAAAGTAACCAATAAAAGGTAGCAATACGTTAAGCCAACGTGAAAACACTTCTCAATAGAGTTTAAGAAACACGATAATAATAGTTATTAATTCTACATGCATTTCACTGAATACAATCGAGTAATAACGCCACCAACCTTACGAAAGAGAAATTCATTATCCTTCAAATATCTTAAAAATCATTATGCCATTCAATAATACAATATTTCAAATGAAATTACATGATTTTGATTGCAAATAGGTTGTAGTTTAGGCACAAAAAGATTCGTATTTAGATCAGAAACCTATGACAATTAATGTCTAATGTTATAGATACTTCTAACGTAGTATGTAAATTATAAACAAATTATTATTATACATTCTATTATCTACAGTCAAGGAATTTTCTTTATCGATAATTTGTTTCGTATATTTATAGGAAAAAATTGTTTTTGTGAATCCTCCGTTTTTGTTTTGGTATATATAATATTTATTCGATAATAAAGTACTTGATGTTGTCACGAACATTTGCGGAGAACATTAGTACTTATTAAACAACGTAAGCGTTTTGCAGTATTACTTACATTTATTTTTTCTTTTTATTTAATTTTACACTTCTTTGGTGTAATAATAGAATATATTTGTTTGCGACGAGGGATTCATGTTTCTGTAAATTTAAAAATGAATGCATATAACTAGGAGTATGAAACTTAATACACGTGAAACGGGAGTATGCATTCTGAGATATATTGCATGCAACGAAGTAATCGAAGAACGATTAACATATTAAGAACAACGTTCAGCTTTGTGTTTTTTACTTGATATTATGTTATATAATCTTGTTTTATTTATATATTATTATATTTTATTTATTTTTCGTACTCCAATTTTAAAATATATGTACAACCCAAAATAATTATTTATGTAACTGCTCCGTTATTTTATTAAAGGAACAGAATTCCAATGAAAACTTTCTTTTTACAAGGATGTCTTATTTGCTATTATATTTATACACTTCTTATATTTATACACGCCACTACACAAGTTTAATTTATTTATATATTGCATTTTTTGTTTATTTATATGCTTATATTTATATGTTAATAAACGACGTAAAAATTTATGTTACTAGGTAGTGTTTAATCCTATTAACTGATTACTCGTAAATATAAATGCAAATTAAAATTGTATTGATCATTCGAATAATTATTTCTTTGTGATATTTTTACGGTACCGGATATGTACAGTATGTGCGCGACTTGAAACATTAATGCACAAATTCATGTTCCACTCTCGCGCCGAAATGTAGTCAGCTTTAAAAAAAAAACAATCAACAATTTAATGTGTACGCATCATATACATTTTATCTGCATGTTCTTTCCATTATATCGATTTGTTCTTTTCGTTGAATATCTATCAAATATATATATAATAGCACAGAATTTGCGTGTTAATGAAAGATATACGATCACGTAGTACTGTACATGTCGAAGTGTATCTTTTCTGCTGTAAATCAGTAGATTTGATATTCTTCGACCATATTGCAGTGTTGTCAAGCAATCGCCATAAAGTGCGGCGACTTTGGAATTCTTGCGCCAACAGGGTGCATACAAAATGGGTACAGACAGAGACAGGAAAGTAAAAAAAGAAAACATGTGTTTGCGCGAACGTTTCCTCGAAATCATATGGTGCTGAATACATAAACAAAAAAATGAAAGGAAAAAATCACAATTATACCAGGGAAACTGCAATCTCTAGAAAAAAAGGAAAGGGAGAGAAAATGTATTAAGTAAAAATGATAGCTAAACTAGACGAAGAAAATAACGAGAGGGGAAGAAACAATGCGAGTACTGTCTTTTAAGGCAGAGAAGAGCTTGTATTGTGAAACGTGATGTTTTGGAAAGCCTTGTATATGTGCCAGCTATTTCTATTTACATTATGATGGTAATTATATCCGTAAGTTGCATAGAGCTTTATTTTCGCCGTAAAATTACTTTAATATTGTATGAAAAGAACAGATGGAATATATTTAATTATTCGAGTCAACATATAAACTGTCGATACCAACATTTTAAATGCTGCTTCAGTAACTGTTTCTCATGATCCTTTGAAACATTATACATACATATAAAGCATACTAAGCTATTGATTTATTTTACAAATTTAGTTCGTAAGTATATGTAACTATTTTGAAAGTTAATTAAGATATATTTATATATTTAATTTAAATAGAAATATTTCAAAGGATTAGTGAACAACTACATAGAATATTATTATAAACCTTCTAATATAAGGCATTAATCTTAACTATATCTATTTCGTGTATTAGAGAAAGTATCTCATTTGATATTTAGTTGAAGATCTTTTCTTGTTGGTATCGACTAATTTAATATATTACGACGATTATTATGTAATGATCTATTACTTGTAATTTGATTTCCTTGATTTCTATTTAATAAAAAGTTAGTATGTGCGATCAAAAAATATTAACTGACTATAAATCTTTTCTGTTTCATAGATCCTACCCATACTCACCTGAATCTTCGACCTGCACTCCCGATAATCTGCTTCATATCCGAACCGTCAAATTCCAACTACATTCTGGATTTCCACATTTCTTTAGGCGATTATTCAATGTCAAGCACGCAAAAAATTCAGTTTTTAAATATTTAAATCGCCTTAAATCATAGTGTACAATTCGGATGAAGTATTTTATATAAACTTGTACATATATTATTATATGCTTGTATAAATTTATTTTAACTAAATCAAATCGTTTGTCATATTTACTTGAATAATTATTTATTATTAAATTATAAGTATAATTTATTTTACTTTTGCCTGCAGTTACAAAAACGAATTAAACAAATTTTAATACGTGTAAAAGATATTAAATATTTACTAATACAAATAATTGACAGAATTAATAAACAGATAATTAAGGAATTTAAAATACCAATTAACAAAGATAATTTGTTTAGTGCTCTCATAAGCGCTCATACAAAAAATTCTTTTTATCTCTTGTAAAAATGAGATAAGATGGGTTTCCATTTGTTATCAAATATCTTATCAAAACGTTGATTCACACGTTCGTATCCACATCCTCATCTCTGACACGATTCGAGCGTTATTCACCTGCTTATTTTACCTGCAAGTGTTAATTTTGATTCTAATCTACCTATAACGTGGTTAGTTTTGGTAAAAACAACAATGTGTTCTAAAAAGTTATTATGCTATGTTGCTATTGGCCTATGTAAGTATATAAATTAAATTAATTATATTTCAAATACAATATTTTTGAAATAATTGTTACATACTATTAAACGTATCTATTGTGCATTGATGAAAAAGCAAAGAATCGACTTGCATAAAATATAAAATATTTAATTATAATTCTGGAAATCTTAATTAAAATTTGTAAATTATATTAATCCTAAAATTATATCTTAATAAAATAGTATTAGTAGCAATTATACCACATGTACACGATATACGTATTTATGTCCTCGTTCCAGAATTTTTTAAATATTTTTTAAATAAATTTTTTAAATATATATGAACATGAAACACAAAATTGAAATAAATAAAATATATACATTGAATATATGTAATACATTATTAAAAACATACATTTATAAATGTAAAAAATTGTAAAATATATTAGTGTGGTCAATAAGAATATGAATAAATATATGTAATGACAATACAAACTATATTGGAATATTATTTCTCATTCTTTTTACTTTTACATTCTTATTTATTAATTTTGTATATAGTAATCATGGGAATCTTTATGGATGGAGTTGAAGCAAGACGTAAAATTTTGAAAGGTCGAAAAACAATTACTAGGCGTTATTATTGTAAGTAAAAAATATAAAAACAAAATGTAGGGAAGATGATGTACATAATAATTAAATATATCAATTTTTTAGGGGGAACTGCAATACCAGCATGGTCTATAGTACTTCTAATAGGAATTAGCATGCTATTTGCCGGCGGTGGACTCTACGTCCTATTACAAAAATTTGTGGTTGATAATGCTGATACTGGAGAAAGCCATGCATCATACCAACCTGCATTGCAAACTGAAGCTGCACCTTAGATATCCAATGTTATATATATGTAATGTAGATAAAAAATGTTTTTATACAAAAAATTGTATGCAGTATGACAATTTATTATTTATTTTTATATAATTCTGCATTTAACAATGGATTATTTCAATCTCACTACTGATTGATGTAAACAATGATGTCGCTATTTGTACAATGGTATCCTTTTACAGCATCTCTTTTCTTACTAGTAATTTCATAAATTATGGATTATTTATATCTGGTTATGTTATCGAAAGATACGTAAATTACAACAATTACTATTTAATGCACAGTATGATCAAAAAACAATTACATTTTGTTTTGTACATTCCGATAAAAGAGAGTCATTAATTTTTAGATTCTTTAGATTATTCATTCAATACATATATATAATATATATTATATATGTACTTAATGAATATATGTGTATATATATATTATACACTGTAGTCAATTATGAATTGATATGAAAGAAAGAAAATCTAGGTCTTAAAATTCTCTGCGGTGATACTTATCAGGATCAAAATATGATGTTACAACAACGCGATTATTGAATTTTCGTCCTGTAAGAGTCTGCTGTGCTTTCTGACAATCAATCACACTATTAAATTCGACAAATACCTACAACATTAAGAAACTTATTAATATATTTTTATAAATTAAAATAAATTAATATTTTATTATATTAAAAAACATACTTTCCCACATCCAGGTACATCAACACCTTCTATAGGTCTAGGTATTTCCACAGATCGGACTACACCATATTTATTACACTCTTCCTTGATGTCTTCTAAGATATCTTCATATTCTTCTTCTTCCATTAATTCTTCAGGTGTTACCATATTTAGCAAGCAAAGAACCTACATATATGTCATAATACATTTTGTTAAATGCAATACGTGTGTGTTTTATAATGTATTATTAAGAAATTATGATTTAATGAATATAATGAAAAAAGTAAATAATAGATATTGGAAAAGCAGTATGCTATACATGAGGAACTATATAATGAGAAACTGGTGGAATGCTGTAGAGATTATAAGGTGCTGAAAGAAACAGAGTATCAAAATAATCAAAGAAATAGAGGAACAATATTAAAGAAGAATAGTGCAATAAAAAAAGAAAACTAAAAATACAAAGGGATAGAAGGGGATGTAAACATAGAGTTAGAAAACTAAAGACAGTAGTATAGTACAGGTTAAAATAGAGTATAATTTAGTATAATAATTTGGAATGGATGATAACAGATGAAAAAGAAGCGAGAGAAGTGTGAGTAGTAAAAGCATATAATATTTTAAATAACTTATTATCTTAAAACTAAATTCATTCCTTGGGAAGAAGCCGAAATATATATATATTTATTTATTTATTATATTTTGTTTATATATATATATATTAATATTATACATATAAATTTATTATAATAAAATTATCTTACCTCAGTAGCTGGCCCACTTGTGCCCACCATTGATAACCCAGGCACCTGAATTTGAACTGGAGCTTGTGCACCAATCATAGGGTTCTTGGCGCCTACGCTAGCTCGTTGAACAATCAGTTTCTTGTCTCCCAGCTGCATTCCATTTAATCCAGCAATTGCTTGATCAGTCATTGACACGTCAACGTACTCGCAGAATGCATAACCCTTGGATAGACCTGTAGCTGAATCCTTTACTAAATTGAATGCTCTCAGTTGTCCAAAACTCATCAGTAATTCCTTCACCTGTATTGTAAAAATAACATTATTTATTTAGTCATGTAATATTAATATTATTTAAATTCATATAGACTATGCAACTTTTAATTTTATTACAGTTCTCAACATAATTAATAAACACAGATATTTCAGATTATCATAATGACTCAACAGGTACAGCAATTTAACACGTTTACTGCATATCGAAAATCTAGGACTTTACTAGGTGCTGCTCCTGATTCAACGAATTTTAAATATATCACAAAAATCCGATCAGCAAAAGCTGCAATAGACTAATTACTTATGAAAATGTATGAGTATAACTACAATCAGTACTGTTGTGTTTCCTGTCACCATTTCGCATTTGTACTTTTAGAAAAATAAAAGACTGTAATATAAATAAAAATATAATATACATAAGTAATATGAATACATATAACATAGGATGAAATATTGTAAATAATAGGAGAACAAAATAAAATTATGTAACCTGATTATAGGTCAACAATGGGCAGAATTCTACAATTACCGTGATCCAGCCTAATACAACTGAAATTTTACAGCAAACTGATAAGATCTGATAGAGTAGACTACTACCTAACATGTAACTTGTGCACATATATGAAACTTCAAATACAACTAGACGATACGCAGACAAACGTGCTAAATATCATTACATACTTCATTTTAATCTCTTAAAATTAAAATATAAAATTGATTTACAACTAAATTAGAAAATCATTAATAACGTAAAATTAATTTTGGATTAAGGAAATAAGTCACAATATCATAACTTAAAACTAATATAAAAGTTGCATAATCAAAAAATAATAAATTTAGTATAATTTCATATGTATTATATCTCGCCTACTCGAATTCCATATAACATCTTCACTTAATGTCTTTTTTACATATAAAAGTTTTACTCCAGTCTGGAACAGATCTTTGTCAATGTTTTAATCAGAATACTCTTGCTCTTCAAACGTGGATTTCCCTCACATTTATTTTTGAATTCTCTCTTCAAAAAAACATGTACCTTAAAGTTACTTACATCTTTCCATTCCCAAGAAGTAACTGAAAACTCTGAAGCAAAGATAACAGCATGTTGCATTTAATGAAAACTTATCTTCACCTCTAGGAGTCAAAACTCCCAGGTAGTTGTGATCTATGTAACTTTATAATAAGTGTTTGTTAACACTCTAATTCATATCATCAAGATATAAATTGTAATCTCACATATGATTGCTTAAGCCATCCAAGAAATTATATGCTATTAACTAAGGTATTCCAACGAAGACTATATCATTATAAAACCATCAGGTTCGTATATTCTTATTATTTAGAAGAATAAATTACTATTTTAAATAATTATAGAGATAATAAGAAGAAAAATTCCCATTAAAAGTCTATAAGGAATATCACGTATCAATTAGCGTTACCTACTATATTATTAATTCTTTGGCGAGTAAGCAACACGCTATTATCAATAAAAAAACTATCCAATTAGAAAACGCACCATTTGTTTAGAAGAACCGAGATCTTCTGAAAGGGGCTGCAAAAGTCGCATAAGCCCAATACGAAGGCATGAAAATGATATAAGTACTTGCCTCGAGGGACTGGGCTAGCCTCTCTCCAGGCAGTGTGGTATTTTGTCATGTTCAGTAGTAGTAGTAGTGGTAGAAGTAGTGGTAGAAGTAGTGGTAGTGGTAAGCAAATGCTTTTGATCGGCGCAACCCTAAGCTAAGAAATGGGGAGAAAGGGCACTGGTATCAGTCCACAGTTACTATATAATAACCAAACGGTTATATTTCTTTGATTGTATTATTCCATCAATGTATCACTTTAATAACACAGTATTAACTTTTTCCGGCGTTTAAAGTTCACATGTACCGACTTTTATTTTTCTTACTTTCTCTTTGCACTTTGTCTTTGTATTAATGCACATTACTGATACTCGAACACATAAATTCGTTCGCGTAACCTGTAAACGTATCAAAGCACAAGGACGAAGAGCTGTAAAGCCTGTAAAAGCCTGTAAAGAAAACAGCTGCAAGAGAAAAGATACTCCTGAAAAGAATAGGTGCCAAAAGACTTGGAGCTGTTACCAGATGCACATAAGATTATGTGTTGACCCTGTAATCCCATCAAGACAAAAAACAAAAAAACTGATATACTAGGTAAAATTGATTGGTTTGTCTGTTGTAGTCCTAAAAAATCTTTTTGTATGTAATACCACTGCATGAAAACAGGCTCATTCTGTAAGAGTTTCAGATGTAAAAATACGAAGAACCTTTACTTTTGAAGAGTTCATCACCTAACAATTCTGCATGACTGCTTTAAGTATAACTATTTCTCTTCTCCCCTCCTACCCCTCCCTTTTTCAGTCATTTATTGAAAAATTTCGTATCCCCTTGGCTGGGTCCACGATGTTCCTAGAAAGACTGTAAAAGAAATGCGACTGCTGCGACTGCATGCCACCTGAATGCTGCAACGCCTCTAACCAATTTCCTATCCACTATCTAATCATGGCGCTTCGAGAAGAAATACGAGAGATGAAATTCTACATTGCCCTTAGAGTTCACTGAACACACAACTGGAATTAGAATCCAAGTCACCTAGCTAAATATAACCTAATCAACGCTGGAATCCAATGGATACACATACATACCTCTATGGCATTTCAGTAGATGACACATCTTCGTAAGTTTGATCTCCGCTAAATAGCTAAATACCTATGTAATAATTTAATCCTTTGGTATAACTCACAATGCTGAGAACTAGCATATATTTAAGGTAATCCTACAGCATTGTTATACAGCAGTGCAGTTGTTTTAATCTCTGATGTCATTTAGATACATTTAATATATTTATTAAAGCTTTTACGAAAAATACTAAATAAATATGAAATAGATTTTAATATACATATAGACATCAGTGAATAAGAACTGCTTCCAAAGGTGTGCAATTAACAAAACTATGTTGTAGACTTGTTTGCATACCTGTTCCTCATTCAAGTAATTGGGTAAACCACCAATGAAGATCTTGTGAGGAGAATCTAAAAATCAAAATATTACATTGTACTTTACATAATATTAAAAGCAAATTTTTAAACATACATAAAAATATAAAGAGTATGTATAAAACATACCGGGAACCGTACCTGGCACGTTCATACTTGGATTATCAGTCATTCCTGGCATTGGTTGATAATCATGTGGTCTTCTTATTTTCAAACTCTGTCCTTTGAAGTTGATACCATCAAATGCCATAGCTTGTGTTGTTTCATCTATCGAACGGAACTAAAAACAATTTTGTGAATATTTTGTCATGAAACTATAAAAACTAAATTGCAAAACCTTATTTTCAAATAAACTTTGTTGTACCTCTAAGAAAGCAAAGTTTTTATCTAAATTGATCTGACATGCTAATACTGGATTTCCAGCAGCTTGAGCAAGACCAGATAGATGCATTTGTTGATTAAAGAACTCCATCATTTCTTCTTCAGTTACACCAAATGGAATGTTTCCTACATACAGTCTCCTTGCTTGGCGAGTTATTGTACTACCAACAACTGGCACAGCTGCTTGTGGTGTATCTGCCACAATGTTTGCCGGTATTTGTCCTGCAGCTTGCATAGCTTTATACTGTTATAATTCAAATTAAAATTAAATAAATCTCCAGAAAAAAACTAATTTATTTTGATAACTAATTTAATAAAATTCAATACATTACCTGCAAAGGAGTAATATGTTCAAATCCAGGTGGTGGTACATCCCAATAAAGAGATGGCTTCCTCCTTCTAGAACTGCGGCTTTTTTTAGGAGAGCTACTCCTTTTCCTATCTCTTCTATCTTTAGAACGTGAACGAGATCGTTTTCTACGATCTCTACTACGAGATCTATGTCTCCTATCACGATCTCTATCCCTATCCCTATCTTTCTCACGGTCCTGACGGTCTCGATCTATCAATACATAAGTATATAAATATACATATAAATACACATGATTTCACATTGTTATTAATAATAAAAAAGCTATTCATATGATGCTTAATGAATAACATATGAATTTCTCCTAATGGCCTAATATATTTTTTAAAATTATTATATTTACAATTTTATAATTTTGATATATGTTAAACTTCCATACAATTTCATACATATATCAATAACTACCAACTACTATCTGTATATTTAACTTGTAATATACATATATGTATATGTTATATGTACTTAGTCATTACCTACATTTGAATGATTAAAATTACAATTCTAAAATGCATAATTAATAATTCATAATATATAAAAAATATATAATAGAAATCTTGAAAAGAGTTGATGAAATAATATATAATTATTATTGTGACGTAATACTACATATAATGAAAAATGTACCCATAAGAATGATCTTCGTAGATGCTTATTTTCAGGTTACCGATAAACTCACAAGATTTTGCAAAAAATATTTGAACACTATTTTATTCACACTGAAATTAAGTAAACGTTGAATAGTTTGAGATCTTTTAAGAAAGAAATATTGAAAAAAATGCCTCAAGATATGTTGACTCTTCTTGGGAGTATTTCTCCGGCCATTACGATCACTCACTCGACTTATTTACCTGACTGTAACGCGGGAACAATGACGAAAAAGCACAGTATACTTGACAAAGATTTCTAAAGAGACCTTTGGGATATTTACCTCCATTATAATCTTCGCCCATTTTTCAGTTACCTAAAACGTAATTTTATTTTGAAGAAGTAATAATATAAATAACAACGAAGCTAACGAGTGTCAATTGCTCTTAAAACAAATTTTTATTCTAAAATGGCGATAGGCTAAGTAGATGTTCGCTAGGAATAATTATTTTGATACAATATCTGGTTCCAGATGGCGTAAGATTCAACCGGAATTGATTTCTCTGGTATATTATTCTGATAAATATTTAAATATAAATGTATTAAATTTTAATCAGCATAGATTGTAAATTTATAATCTGAAATTTCCCAATATTTAAACAACAACAGTTAATTGAAATAAATTTTTATTATACATAGTGGTACAAATATTATATTATACAATACTATTTTATTCGGTAAAAGATTAAAAACATTGAATTAATACTTAATTTGAGATATCATCTATCAAAATAAAATCAAATAAATAATTGGATATATTTTAAAAAGTTTAACAATTTAATAAAAAATTACAAAAATTGTAACATTTTTAATGATATATATTAAATTGTTAAGCAAAAATGTATCTAAATAGTTTCAGAGTAAAAAATTATTCCTATCAAGCTTTTTACAAAAAATTTTCATATTAATTATATTCAGATAAAACTGATATGACTAATTATTTATGAGTTTATATCTTCTTTTTAAATAAATCTGTTTGTTACGAATGAAAAATCTCAAATATTAAAATTTTAAAATTTGTAATGTTCAATTTATCTGATGTTCCTGTAAGATTCTTCTAAGCTACCACTCGTGGCGCTTAGATAGCGACTGAGTTTGAATCTCTCAAACACTTGTATTAAGTAACGCCATTCTTTGTATTTGTACATTTCAAAATGTCCTAAATAAACTCGAAATGGAAAAAAATGTGAAATCCGTAGACTTATTTAGAAGTTATGATAACATGGAAAATAAGAGAATATTAGAAGAGCGATTGAGGAAAGCAGCCTGTGTTGGTGATACAGACGTTGTTCAAGAATTACTTAATTTAGGTGTCGATGTTAATGCACGACACTCTGTTAATGGATGGTATTTCTTTTTTAATTTATTATATGCAATTCTTATATTTTTTTCTAATAACTAATAGCAAAAATGTATAAGAGTAAAACCATACAATATCTTTCCTTGTGTACATGTAATGAAACTGAATGGCCTTGTGTCAAAAATATCAAAATAATGACATAATTAGTATTTTTCCTTTAAGGACTCCTTTACATTGGGCATGTAAAAAGGGGTACTTAGATGTAGCTGCCTTGCTTTTAAAAAATGGTGCAGATAAGAATATAAGATCTGAAATTGGAGAAACTCCAGCATTTTTGTGCATCAATCCACAGATTTTACAACTTCTAGATATGCCTCTAGTTATGCCAACTGATTCTCAAAGAGTCCTAAATGAATCAGCAGTACATAATGTTATGCCTAAATATGTAAAAAGTGATTATGTACATGGAGCTACAGATTCAGGAATTCCTAGAGTAAGAAACAATGGTTTATACCAAGATGGTGAGAAATTTGTAATAATTTTATTTTTTGTAATTTTAATGTTTGTACATATATGAATATTAATAGCTCAAGATAATGAAACAGAACATTAAATCTAAACATTTTTTTAGAATTAGTATTAAAGATTCGTATTGCTGATGCCCCTGACCCAGATTTTATAGAAATTGAGTTACCACAAAGTGATTTGACATATCAAGCATTGATTTGGATATGTTGCCAAGAATTAAATGTTGAACCCAACCAAATTGTAAAATTAAGAAAACTGCCCAATACTAGGTTGAGAAAAGATGAAGATATTCAACGACTTCAAAACTTCCAAGAAATAGAAGTTGTTACAAATACTGTAAACACATATAAGTACATGCAAAATACCAATGGTATTTCAACAATGGGACATTCAGGAGTAGTAGCAAGTCCAGCAAATGGGTACCAGAGTATTTCTAAGAAAGATCAGACTATTTTATATTAATTATTGGTATCATATATCGTTTTTCTTTTTTTCGTATGTAATTAAATGAAGAAAACTAACATTTAAGTAAAATACAATATATATGTAATTAGGTATGTCAAATTTAAAGTGCAATAATTAAACTTTTTTAATATAACAAAGTACTTAAGGTAATAATAAGTAGAAGGATAATTTTTTAACCTTGTTTACTAGATTTAATAAAGTAATAAAAAATAATTACACTTTTTTATTTGTTTTGTTAATTTCTCTTTGTAGAAAGAAACTTTCTTTTCTTTTTAACAGTAATAATGTCTCCTTCAGGAGTAACAGTTACACTAACAATACCAGGTGCAGTACTAAGCTCTCCTGATACATTACGATATGCTTTTGGTCTCTTAGGCTGCACTATTGGCACTCTAACCAAGCATTTATTTTCTAAAAACAAATAAGAAACACATTAAACATACATATAATAATAATTAATCATAGTCATATTGTAAGTCTATTATAAGGAGGTTCTTTGGCACAGCATATTGATTTACATACACATTAAGTTTATATAAAAATATAATTTTTATAAGAATTTTCCTATAAAAATGAGAATTAAATGTAATTAATCAAAACTTACTCAATGTTGTATATATAGGGAGGCCAAGGCTAGAAGATGTTTTAATACGAATAGAACGAATATTAGCCCAACCCCCTGGGTAGTTTTTAGATAAATAACTGCATGTTGCTAATATATTTTCTATAATTTCTTCTTTTTTCATAGAGGTGTGTCCAATTTGAATTATATGAGTATCACCATAAGAATGTATCTGCATGACAGTTTTCCTCAAAGCATAATCTATTTCGTGTTTTAAATCTTTGCTATGCATTCGGATGGATGTTGGCAATTTCCTTTTCTTATAAAATTCTCTTCCCAATAAATGAGATAAATGACCAGCTATTTTTCCATCTACAAGAAAATGATCATAGCTACCAACAAGCTTCCTTTTTAATTCATACTGATCATATTCAGTTTTTACTTGATTCATTGGTATTATAGCCTTTATTCTTGTACAATTGTGTTTACGTAATAAGTCTTCATAATATTCTATCGTTGGTTCATAATCCTTTCTTCTACCTCTTTGAAGATCACCAACAAAAAGTCCAATTTCGTCATTTGATGACACTATTGAATATGGTAATAATCTACAAAATAAATTGAGCAATAAATAGTGTTTTAATAAAATTAATTATACTGATTATTAAAAATAAAAATGAACATCATTTGTGACTTTATAATCACGGTTCCTCATAAGGACCTATTGGAGATTATAAAAAAAATATATATATATATTTATAAAAAAAAATATATATATATAATCATTTGTGACTATATATTATACATATGCATTAAATCACATAATATTAATATATAAAAATGATTTTTTATTTATTTGAAAAGATACGTATAATTAATGTATAACCGTAAACTTACATTCTGATACATCTTCTTGGAGTTTTAGGTACTCTAATACATGTTATTTGCATAAATATTGACTGGCTTTCGTCATCAAACAATGCATTGTTATTCTTCAGTTGTTCTTCAGTCAAATGGTTGATCACGCTAATGCATTGTGATATATGTTCTTTTGACAAATCACTCAAATGTAAGCAATCTGTATTTTCTTTGTCACTAATACTATCTTCTCTTTTTCGCTTCCGCGATTCTGTAATCTCAGAAATTGCTTTTGTATATGAACTAATTTTTGTCTTATTTTGCACATTATTTTTTTCAGAAGATTTTAATGTACGTTTCAATGTTCTATCACTGATCATTTTTGGATTTTTCTCATTTCGCGATTTCTTATTCTTTATGTGGCTGTTAACTTTCGTGTTCTGTGCACTTCCAACTTTTGGTAATTCTATACGTTTTTTAATAATTTTACGAGTAGTTACCATCTTGTACACATGGAAATTACTTATGTCTACTTTTCCGAATCTAAGAGCGGAAACGGAAACGGTTCTGTAGATAACTTTCTTGTGCTATAGCGCATAGTGCCAACCATAGATCATATGCAAGTAAAGAAGGTTCATTCATTTCTAACATTTTATTCGCAGCAATAAAAGTATATTTTTCAATCTCTTAATAATTAAAATAAATTATCCTAGTATTTATATCGTCCTTCGAGGTACAACAGAATAAATGAGATATCAATAGATAATAATATTTACATATAATTAGCGATATATAATCATTACTACTACAGTAAAGACAGAAACTAGTTGTATCTGTGTAAAAAAATATATTTATGCATGCATTATTCGTGCATAATTAAGGAACAATTGCGTATCGGTTAATTATGACATAAGTCATTATTTAAAAATGTATATTGGTTAAGTATACTAAAAAAAAACTTTAATTAACAGAAAATAAAGATATATATTTAAAAAAATTCAAGTTAATTTTGTTATATATTAAATATTTCAATTAGCGAGTCAACCTGCTTGAATTAAAATGTAAGAACTAATTGTATAGATAAAAGTTTGGAACGTTACATGTACATGTAAGTAATTTTAAGATTAAGATATCGAAATTTTTTGATTTAAGAAGTATTGCTAACTAGAATTATAATTGACTTACCAAATTTTGTAGTACGTATATCTAAAATTTATCATGATTTATGTATTACTATTAAATACTATATATTTTCTTGTCAGTAATTAATAGTATATAATAAATTAAATTTATTCGTTATTGATAAAATAAAAATTATTTTTAAATAATTCTTTAATAAAATGTAAATTTGAACATTTAGTAATCATTCAGTATGTATTAACAATTAATTACAGTTATAGAAACATATTGACATACATTTGCAATCGAAACATTTAATAAATAAGTAGATTGCATTTTTATTACGAATACTAATGAATTGAATAATAACCGCGAAATTTGAAATCCAAACAGATATGATATACGTATGTATGTAAGTATGTACTCTTCACACTTGTGTACAAAATAGCATAACATTAAACCAATAAACTTGCCTAATAATAAATCTTAAACGAATATAAACGATTAAGATCTAATTTATTTGGTATTAATATTTCTTGTAATAAATTTAAATATTTCTTGAAACAATAGCAAGGGGTGTGATGTTCTATCACCGCTGGGGATAACGTTCGCAACTTACTACACCTCGGACCGTTACACTTGGTTAACCAAGACAATCGAGATCAACGATTGCTTGCAACATACGTCAAAGGTAGCCTCGACTGTTGGTCAGACCTGTTTCTTTCTTCTAAACATTTTTTATCCTTTACCTTATTACATGTTATCAGTTTTTATACTAACAAAGGTTCATATCGTTTTAGTGTTATTACAGCACCGCTCTAACAGTGTATCTTACTAACTATCAATTTTGTCTCATAAAAGATTAAAAACAGCTGTCAAATGATAAGATAAGTGACAATGATAGAAGATCAATATGCCACGAATAATATTTGCCACACTCTATCGAAAAATTCGGAAATACGATGCGCGGGATTTCACGATACGCGAAACTAATATTATTTCTATGCGTTGGATCCGTAATATTTTGTGCAATTTTTGGTACTCTTCCAAGTATCCTCAGAAGAGTTAATAATGTGGTTGTGAAACAAATGAAACACCGACAACAAATAAAAGAAGAATTACTAAGAAATGAACAGGTACATCTGTATTTGATTTTATTAAGATTAATCTATAATCCTTTTTCTTTTGATTGTGCTATTATGAAAATGAAAAAGTTTATATATATTTCCTGTACTATTGAGTAAAACACGTTAGTAGTTTAAGTAAGTTTCATAGAGTCTCTATTAGAACTTATATGTACAGGGTTATCCACTTAATTCGGAACCCGCGCTTGCGAGAACATAAGAAAATGGCAACAGTGTAATATATCCACTTACCACTACAATCAAATATCACTCGCTATCTATGAGCTGTTGCTAGAAGTATAATTAGGTGAGAACATGAAGTGGTTTAGTTGTCGTCGGAGCACTTTAAATTTGACGTCACAATAAGAAGACGATCGCAGAGAAAGCGAATCTCGCATTTTCGTGTCCCTGCGGGCTCCTAAACCACCCAAGCAAGCAAGTGCACCCGGTTCTGTTCCCACATGTAACTTAATTTTTTCTTTAAATAACTGAAATCTTGGATTATATTTACCTGAAATTGAATTTATTTGAAATTAATTTGAAAAAATGTAATTACAATGTAATTTTTTTTATTTAAAAGTACACTCAATTGCCAGGATTATTAGCGAATTACAATGAAATTGTTCACATTTTTACAAACATTACGGCTCTTTCTCCATATTGTTTAGTAATGTTTATTTTCAACGTATTAAACATTTTCTTCTACGTCGTACTCCAAAAGTTATTCACGATCACTTTCTACAAATTGACCGTTATTACCTGATCATTCTGCTGTGAATACGTCGAATGTATGAATAAAAATTGAACAGACCAATTGAGATACGAGATACCTCACAGAATTCTAGTTTAAGAAAATAGAAATTAATTTAATTCTTGTATTGCAGTGCTTGAGTTCGGACTACTCAGCAAAGGCTACTTGTTTATGACACAATCATTTATAAATCGTCAAAATAAAAAAATAGTTCTCATATTTTTTTATTTCATTGTTATAAAGTTGTTTTTAATTAGATTGTTGAGATTCTTATCAACGAAACGATATTGAACATAGTTATACCCTTGAAAGATGGACAGTTCAGTGAACTGCATGGGAGACGGTATCTATGTTCGTTCAGACATAACATTCTGAGATTGCTTTCTTTACAACAATTTCAATTTTAAATAAGAAAGATTTGTTGTAATTACATTTCAGGTAAGCAGGTAATCCAAGATATCAGTTATTTAAAGAAAAAATTAAGTTACATGTGGGAACAGAACCGGCTGCACTTGCTTGCTTGGATGGTTTAGGAGCGCGCAGGGACATGAAATCGTCGGGCGAAAACAAGGGATTCGCTTTTTCTCAGTGATCGTCTTCTCCTTATTGTGTCAAATTTAAAATGCTCCGACGATACTAAACCACTTCACGTTCTCGCCTAATTATACTTCTAGCAACAGCTCATAGATGGCGAGTGACATTCGATTGTAGTAGTAGTGTATGTTATACTGTTGCCATTTTCTTATGTTCTCGCAAGCGCGGGTTCCGAATTAAGTGAATAACTTTTATAGCATTACTAATTTGCGCCTTTATCCGTATCAGATTGAAACAACGTCTGTACTTGGAAAATGGCTCTTGTCTTCTGAAGGAAGTTTAACACCACCGATAATAAATAAGAGAAAGGAACCGTATTTAATCTTAATTTGGAAGCACGGAATGTTTTTGGAACGTAGGCACATCAGACGTTTTACGAATAAAAAGTTAATAAAATTATATTAAAAGCTTGTTTGTTATGAGATATAAATATGCACTTGTTAATTTACAGTAATGCTTGCTGAATTTACGATAAATCAGGTCTTTGTATTATTCAGGTTGTCTCACCTGATATGTTGATTTATGTCACTATTATCATCCGTAACAAAAAATACTTCAAATAAAAATAGAATGGTTGCGAAGGAGGTACATTAATCAATGCACGTCGATATTCTCCGTAAAAAAGTATTGATCCCTGTATATCGAAAAGTTATTGTTAAAGTAAAAGTTAACTGTAAAAGCTTTCGTACGAAAGATAAGGAAAACAAATACAAAAGTATTGCCTTATGTCTTTCCGTATCTTTCACACAATAAGGTTTACAAAATAAAAATTGAAATATCTATTAAACTAGTAGCTTTTCGACATAAATAGGTTAATAATTTTTTGTAGAGTATTTCGATCTGCATTAATTAATGTATTAAAAAAAGATATGATTCTATTTAGAAAAACAAAAAATTTTTTTTCAGATGTTCACATGATCTTTACACGACCACCTAAAGAAAAAATAATAACATCAGAATATGTCCCCCTTGAAGCCATACAATTTTTATCCGAAATATTTTTCATTACGAATAATAATAATCACATAAATCAAAGTGACAATATCAGATAAGACACCCCGTGTAATTCTTGCTGAACAAGTTGCGATTTTTTTGCAATACTTTTCAATTTCTCGATAAGAACAAATGACAAATATAACGAAAGCGAATTAGAAAGATATACATAGTGTGTCAAGAAACAACGGTCGAGCCGAATTTATTAATCCGAACGGTTACGATGAATGATCAAATTATACAAATATCAACTTCTACTAATTTTCATTTTATTTTATCAATTTCTATAATTTCTATCTTATCAATACAAATATAATGATATAAATAAGTTTTATAGATAACAATATTACTAATTAATAAATTAGTCACAGAATTATCAATAATTTCCAGGATATAAAACGAATTTCTGTTAAAACTAATTTGAGTTGTCTTGTTATTAAGTCATTTATTCATTTCATTCAATCATCTCATTACATAAAAATTCTATACAATGTGTCCGGTCTATCTGGAAACGTTCAGACATCTCGAAAAATATGAATGACACGAAAAAGTGTTTCAGACAAAACTTGTATGATATCAAGGAGGACATACTATATCCTTGTCTATTCGACCATGCGATAACGTTAAAACATATGAAGATTATATTACATTTTTCAAAGTCAATCCTATGAAGGTCATATTAAAATTTTCAAGTAGGTATCTGCATTTTTTATTATATATACTTGGCATTGAGACATTTTCCAAACGTTACAAACTTGTGTCTCCCACCATGTGCTATCGAAATACGAACTTTTAAATTCGATAAAGCGATACAAGAAACTAAAAAGGAAAGTGATTGACCGACTGACTGTTTTGGAAATATATACCAATGGTGGCATTATGAAAAACATCTTTATGTATCCTCGTGATGTATATCGGATGACGCTAATGTCGACGGCATGCAGCATGTCGAATTTAAAAGTTCGTATTTTGATAATAAAAAATGTAGATTCCCATTTGAAAATTGTAATAGGATCTTCAAAGGACGTTTCATAGTCACCGGAAAATCAAATGAGCAAGATATGTCACTTAAAAGTGCTCGATCGTCGTTGCTTGATATACTGTCTTTCTCGCCTATCCTTCCTATATCTATTCACTATTTTCGACATTCGATTTAATAAATTCGGACTATATTTGAGTTTGAGATATAAAGATGTGAGTTACTGAAATGTAGGTAAAGCAATTGTATGAAATTAAATTTACACGAGTATTACTGTAATAATATTAGTACATATACTTTAAACTATAATTCTATTTAACTTTGAACTGAAATGTACTTCTATTTTAGGTTTTCACCTTGGGAAAATTGTACAGTAAAATGTGTATTAAGTTACCAATCCAAAGATTTAAATATAGCAGATGCAGTTGTGTTTCATTTGCATCTGACACAAAATGTACTGGAGTTGCCAATCAGAACACGATGGAATCAGAGGTGGATCTTTTTGACTGATGAATCGCCAATACACACTTTTATCTATGGAAATCAACAATTGTCTAAATATAATGGTTTATTTAACTGGTCAATGACGTATCGAATGAATAGTGATGTGCCAATACCTTACGGCAGAACGATTTCTACTTCGTTTATAAATTCACCAAATATAAATTTTTCGAAGGATCTGATACAAAAATCAAAAACTAAACTGGTCACTGTGATGGGTAGTAATTGCGGAGGCACTAATGATCGATGGAAATATATTAGCGAATTGAAAGTAATTCTCGGTAGTGATCTTGATATATATGGAAAATGTTTAAATGGTAATACGACCGCATGTCCGGGTCATTTCGATAAAGATTGTTCTGTTTTAAATTCCTACAAGTTTTATTTAGCTTTTGAAAACTCAAATTGTAGAGAATACTTAACAGAAAAAGTATTCTGGCATGGTTATCACAAATTAGCAATACCAGTAATAATGGGTGCACCAAAGAAAGATTGCGAGAAATTATTACCACCACATTCGTTCCTTCACGTTAGTGATTTTGTTAATCCGAGAGCTTTAGCAGATTATATTCGCTATCTTAATAAGTACGATGATAAATATTTCGAGTTCCATGAGTGGCGTAAATATTACAAAGTAATCAACGAACATGGTTATTTTGGCAGCATGTCACGACATTATTGCCGTATTTGCGAAGCTCTTCATTATAATTCTCCTGCCCCCAAAGTGTACGAGGATATGGAATTGTTTTGGAACAAAAAACGAGATTGTACTCTCTGATATATTTAAATTTTATTTGTCTTTGTATTATATTGTTATCACTGTTTAACGTTACTGAATTAAATTTTTATCTGTTAAACTTATAGTTTGTTATTTTTTGTTTGCAATTGTTTTGTTTTGATTATCGCGTAATATTTATTGTAAATAAATTGAATAAAAACATCAATTTACATATTTCATTGTAATTAAATAACAAATAGAAAATGTATGCATAAAATATAATAATTACGTATAACGTATATATAAGAAAAAAATATTTAGCTATGAATTATATAACATACTATTGCAAAATTTTTTATCTTGAAAGTGTAAGGTCTGCGGACGATGTGAAATAAATAGATAAAAAATAGTATTAGGTTAGAATGTTTGACTATTTTAATATTAACATTGTACGTATCAAAATAAAAGCTTCAATCATGTTACGTAAAACTTTTTCCGACAATATTTATGAATCTTTGTAAGATATGGTAATAAAACATTTTATTGACAAATTTTTCAAAATAGATTCGTGAATGTTCCAATGTACAGTTTCGTAATTTCAAAACTCTGTTACGTTTCCACGGTGCTAAAACAACAATATTTAGCGAAATATCGTATTGTTTTTTATCCTATATTACGTTGTAAAATACATTGCGTCAATCCTTCTGTAATTATGGCTTCAAAGTGTTTTAATGGATGTAACGATCACTACAATGGTGTAACTATTGACTCAAATGACGAAGTTTGTACATCTGAAGTGTTCACTCGTCGTCTTACAGGTTTATAACATAAAATGATAATAATTCTTAAACATATTTATAAATTATTACTTATTTTATCAAAATTGAGATACTTTGACAAAAATGTTTGTTAGAAATTAATATTTGTTTATTATAATTTTTGTAGCATCTTTACAAAAATGGAAAGAAAATAAAAAACGCACAATATGGTTCCGTGTACATTTACCACAATCAGAATGGATACCGTTACTTGTGAAAGAAGGATTCAAATTTCATCATGCAAAACAAGAATATGTTATGCTTTATCGATGGTTAGTTAAAGATGAGGAATGCAATGTTCCACACTATGCACACACCAATTTAGGAGTCGGAGGATTTGTCTATAATGAGGAAACTAAAGAAATTTTAGTTATCAAAGAGAAATATGCAAATGGTCCACCTATTTGGAAATTACCAGGTGGTTATGTGGAACCAGGTATACAAATTTTTTATAAACTAGTAAATTAGTACAGTATAGCTAATAATCTTTCTGTTATCATATATGTACTTTATGTTTTTAGTATAATATATAATATATAATAATTTTTTATCAGTTTTTTATTTTATTGTAGAAGAAGATTTGGAAGAAGCTGTAAAAAGAGAAGTTTTAGAAGAGACAGGTGTTCAAACTACCTTTAAATGTATAATAGGTTTCAGACACGTTCATGGTTACGCCTTTGGCTGTTCTGACATATACATGATTGCTTATTTATCACCTATTAATATCAATATTAAAAAATGTGAAAAAGAAATTTCTGATTGCAGATGGATGAAGGTAATTTTTATTATTTGCTCATAAATAGTTTGTTACTGTAACTGTTTATTGTTCTCCCAGGTAAATGATTATTTAGAGCATCCAGAAGTATCTGAAAATAATAAACAAATTGCAAAAAAGATAATGGAATTTTTCAAACACAAAATGGGGATTGTTGTGAACCATGAAATACATTTTGCAACAAATAAACCTATTTGTGTATACAGCATATCCAAAATCGGTGATGCATAGCATTACACAGAATGATTAAAATGTATACATATGGTCAATTAATTTCATAGTTTAGAGCGATCTAAAATAATAATTATCTTAGAAAATGAACAAATCAAAATAAAATTTAATGTTTTAGATACATTTTTTAAATATAAGAAGTATAAAATATTTATCTTATCTTATATAGAGTAAATTAATCAAAATTACGAAGAAGTAATTCACACTATATAAGCTAAATAAAGGATAATCTAAGAAAAATAAAATTTATTGATTTCATTAAACATTCTATTACTATGTTATGTATATACAGCTTTGAATTAATTATATAAGTTGTTTAAATTCTGTAACTAAGGATTATAACATTAGGATTATAACATAAGGATTATAAAATCGATATAAATAACAAATAAACTGCAAAAATACATGTAACAAATTGTGACGTATTATATGTATACATATCTAAATTCCGTTTTCCAAAATTATGAAAAAAATGGAACGAAAAGTGCAAATTTAACTTGAGAAAAAGATAAATAAAGAAGATATACAAAAAAGAGGAATATTATATTAAAAAAATTGTATTGAAATATTTTCATACCCAAACGTTCCTTGAAAACCCAGCTTTATGTTGGAAAGTAGCTTCTTCAGTTTTGTTTACATTCTTCTTTGTCACACTTTAGTCGATGATTGACAAGTTCTCCGGGAAGATGGAAGAGCACGTATTTGGTTAAGGTTAAGGTTATAGAATATTACTTTGTTGACAATTCGACTAATTTTTCCTGTAAGAAATATTACGTGAATAATTTGACGAGAATTCATATGTAGAAGAGTGTTCAATAAGGCACAAGATTTGTTGCCAAGATGAGTAAGATGTATACAACCGCCAACCTTTCGGACAAAGAATTAAAAGAAGAAGGAAATCGTCTTTTCAATCTTCACAAATACGAGGATGCTGCGCACTGCTACACCAAAGCAATTGTGAGTGCCACTATGAATCTATGCAGGCAAGTTACGACATTGCATCTCATTGCTGCAGATTAAAAATCCAACCCAAGCACTATACTTTACGAACCGAGCGCTGTGTAACCTGAAATTGAAACGATGGGAATCGTCCTGTCTAGACTGCAGACGTGCTCTCGATATCGATCCATGTCTGGTGAAGGGTCATTTTTTCTTGGGTCTAGCTCTTCTTCAAATGGAACTCTTTGATGAAGCTGTTAAACATTTACAGAGAGGTACGTACCTATATTTTTACTTGGGAATTTCACTGGCTTTTTCTTCTCATATGTTTCTTGCAAAGATTTCACTGTAGGTAAATATTCCGTGATAATTTCATAGTCTATATAAAATAATTATAAATTACACGAATAATATCTCGAAATTGACTAACGTTTATGATTTAACCATTTTATCAGTTTCATAATTCATCAAAAATAAATATTACATATTTGCATTCTGCAGAGTATCTTTTAATGGAAAGAATCTTATTTGGTCTCTAATATAGTTTGGCAATATACTCATTTGTGTATTTACATATTTATGCATTTATGTATCTTTAAAGAAGTTGCGCTATATTATATTTTTAGTACTATAATATATTATGTATATATATCAGAACATAGTTATACAGAAGTATTTCATGGATATTCTTTTTTATGGTATTGATGGTTTTTACGACAATGTGAAACTTGTCCTTCACATGGTTACACATCTGAAACAACTACTACAACATAGCTGTGGATTTGGCCAAGGAGCAAAAGCTAAATTATGGAGATGATATGACCAGCATTTTAAGGCAAGCGCGAAAACGTTGTTTCCAATTGAGAGAAGAACAGAGAATTGCACAAGATATTGAATTACAATCATATCTCAATCAATTGATAGTAGAAGATGCTGAACGAAGTTTAGCAGCTTTAAAGGAGCAAGAAGCAGCTAAAGATGCAGATGGTAAAAGTGAAGGGGAAGCTTTGTCTATTGAATTAACAAAAAAGAAAGAAGAGGTAGAAGAAAAAAGAGATATGTATATGGCTCACCTTAATGATCTATTTGCAAAAGTAGATGAAAGAAGAAGGGTGAGTTTATATTTTTTAATCATGTTTAGTTATGTATAAATTAAAATAATTATATATTATTTGCAATTTTTATAAATATATGGAACAGAAACGAGAGGTACCTGATTATTTATGTGGTAAAATTAGTTTCGAAATTTTGCAAGAACCTGTAATAACGCCAAGTGGAATTACGTATGAACGAAAAGACATTGAAGAACACTTACAAAGGGTGGGACATTTTGACCCAGTTACTAGAGTTCGTTTAACTCAGGATCAATTAATCCCTAACTTAGCAATGAAGGAAGTAGTAGATACATTCTTGCAAGAAAATGAATGGGCATTATATTATTAATATGTAAAGTTAGGTCACCACCATATTTTTATGATAAATAATTACATCTATATTACGATTATTTTTGGGTCCTGTTATTTTATGTAAATGTGCATATCATTGCCTTGTCAACAGTAACTACATCATATATTTATATGAAATTAAACTTAATTCTTTTTTATATTAATAGAATGTATTTAATTTATACATGTGCAATCATTGATTAATTAAATAAGATTGACAAATCAAAATTTTTGAGAAATATTTCTTTTAGTTGATGAATTTGTGTATTTATATATGAAATATTGAAAATAGTGCACATAATACCTTCAAATGGGCTGTTAAGTAATATAGGTCATATAAGAGTGTTAAAACTGTATATGTTTTTCTGATAAATAATAAATTTATTGTTTGATGTATAATTAAATATTTTAATATTTCCCAATTATTTACATAATTAAATAAAAAATTTTGTGATATTTTTAACTGTGTTTACTTACATTAATATATAGAAAATGAGTGTTTCGTCCAAGATCTGCTAGTGTGAACTCTTCAGTAAGGCTCTCACCTAACAGACCTATACCTTAGACACAACGAGAGAAGACAGAAAGTGACATTAATATATAGTATATATTACAATAATATATTTCACACTATCTTAAATTTCATTCTGTTAAGTATATTATATTATACATTCTCTAAAAATAAATATTTTTATAGGCAAATATAATATATTACATTTATACGCATATGAAATTGATGTACGTTGTTTCTTTTTCAAGTAAGCAGTATTAATTGAATAAAAACAAATTTAAAGAAAAATTACATTTAATGCAATAATAGTAATAGCTCCAGCCACAATAGGTGGTATATAATATTGATAAAAAGCTGGATGAGGTGCTGCTCCCATTAAAAGTACAACCCAACCTAAGAAACATAATATACTGGATAGTATTTGAGATCGATTTTTATAATTATTGGAAGGAAGTTGCACCCATCCCATTGTACTGCATGTTACTAAAACTATCCAACTTTGAAGTAACAAAGGATCTTCGGAAGAAAGTCTCATATCATAACTAGAACAAGTTTACAGAAATTAATGATAGATGATTGATTGATTAAATTTATACACCAAAATAATAAATTGCAAACCTGAAATTTTTTGCCCAAACAAGTACAGATGGTACAGCTGGAATAGCAGTAAAACACCAAAGTATGAATAGAATAAGATGATTGAATATTTTTTGTCTTGTATCATCATGTTCTCCTGAATTATTTTTCGTATTTCTGAATCGTCGTATCCAATTAAAATGTTGTAATGAAGCCATTAATAGTTCTTCTAAATAATCTTCATAGATTTTTGTCAAATTTAAAAAATAAAGAAAAACTGAAATTAGCATAGCTAAACCCCCACAAGTTACGGGGATTAAAGATAAGACAAGAATTGCAGTAATAAAAGGTAACTGACTCAATCCACCAAGCAGCCAATCTGACCATGTTGTTGAAAAGGCTATTGCGCGAGCTAGAAATCTGGAAAATCAATAGATTTATTCAAAAAGTTTTTATGTAACATCAACATATGCATTAATGTACTTAAAGTTTCTTACCTCACAGCAATACTATGAGCTACCGAACCAAGAAATATAATGGAACAGCATAATCCAATGGTAAATACGCAAACAATTGCTAAAGCAACTAAACATTCAAACATTAAATTATAACAATATGAGAGGTATATTGTAATTACTATTATTGGAGTTTGTTTGAGACCATGATTAATTCTTGTAGATAAAAACAATAAAAGTAAACTAATAATCGTTGTATATAACAGGTACCAGCGATCCCTTACGATACAAGATATTCGATCTATAATTCCACCTTCTTCAATATTAATTATGTAAGAACATGCAGGATCTAGAGTTATCCTTAACTTTGGAAAAACGTTGGAATATTTATATCCAGTCTGGACTTTCATCGATTTCGGCCCATTATCCCTAAAATATTAAAATTGTTTGTAATAAAATATTTTAAAAATAAAAGCAAATTTACTTTAGTTATACTCACACGACCGTAAAAAATTGAATTTGTGTAACTACAATACCCCATGGTTCTAATAATTCAACTATTGCATGATGTTTTGGATCTGTACATTCAAATGCTTTAAGTTCAACAGCTACAACATCCATGGCGCTTTCAAAATTGGCATAGTATCTAACATGTCCAAGATTAGACATTTTTTTGGTTTGAGGTATTATAAATAAATTTTTTAGTAAAGGTAAAGTACTCCTAATAGGTACAAGTCTTGTATTGTAAGAATATAAATCAACGTTTATAGTAATATAGTTTTCTAAACTGTCCGGTGTAATCCTTATTATAATATGTGTTACATCGGGGTATTTTATCTCTTGAAAATTTAAGTCAACAGTTTTTCTTAAGCGATGTAAAGGATCTGGTAAAATTCTTGTTCTGTTTGTCAGGTTCCAACCCCAATTGCTAAATTAAAAATGGAATTTTATAATAATAGTTTGATGAGCTTTTGTAATCTTTGCTTTAAGACAATAATATATAACTTTACCAAACTCTTGATTGTCCTTGTATATTGGATGCTGTACACGCAAATAACCAATCTTTGGATTCTAAATTAATGGTATCAATAGTTAAATAATTTGGTTGTCCACTCAATCTAATCATAAGATAGATAGGAGATGTTCTTTTAGGCAAGTCTCTGTTGGTCCATACATAATGCCTTTGAATGTTCTCTATCCATTCATTACTAGGTTCAAATTGTATTATTTCTTTATAAGAATATAATCTTTTTCCAGAAGTACGCTGTAAAATTAATTGTTAGCTTAAATGCTATTATTAAAAGTACATTAAAACTTATTAAAAATACATTAAAATATTTTCTTACATGATAAAAGTGATACGATAATGCTTGCATTCTTTCTTTAGCTGTAGAAAAAATTTTAGGTGGTTTTTGTGTACAATTAACAGAATCAAATAATGAACGTACAACAGACAGTACTAATTGTTTACACCATAAAATACTCAAATGATCTGTAGATTTCCAAACATCTGGCATAGTATTAGAAAGAACATTAATATCTGCTGTAGGATCTAGAATTTGAGCTGAAGTTATAAGTATATCTCGTGGTCCACCTCCTATTGATACTACACTTGTCCCTGCATCTTTTATCTCACTTAAGCGTTTTTCTAGATTCTGGTAATAATTGGCAAAAGTGTGGTCTAATATCAAAGTAGCTGTATGAGGAGTAGCTAAAGCAATAATAATGCTTGCAACAGTAGCATTTACATTTGGTGTCATTACAATAGAACCTTTAGCTATAATACCTCCCTAAAAAAATGAACAGATATTTTAATATCTTTACTAAAATAAGTATACTATTATTATATTTACCATTGAATGTCCTATGAGCACAATATTATCTATGTTAGTTTTGTATAAACTCAATATTTTTTGTATACAGTGTGAAACATATACTGTCTCTTCCATTAATACACCTTCAATTAATTAATAAATTATCATTTATTTTTTCTAATCTTTTAAATAAAGTATAAATATTTGAAAAACTATGGAGACAACAATAAAGCTAACTATTCAACAAAATTGTTTTTTTTATTCATACCTCCATATAAAGCAGAATAATCATTGCCAAATGAAACAGTAAAATAATCAAAATGAAATGGAGTCCTATCTTTTAAGCTTTTCCTCAAACTGACAGAAGCAAGGGATCTTACTAGAAACAATAGAAGTATTAACAATTATTCAAACGAAGACATAATTTTTAACAGATTTTAAGAACCTTGCTCATGAGATCCAGCATTGCCAGGTATAAAAAGTACTGGTATTCCTGAGAAGTACATCCTTCTAAGCTTCTCGGTAACAAAACCTTCTCCATAGGCATATAATCTATACCTTGGATATTGTTCTTGTATCTCATTATCCAAAGAGATTCTCTAATATTTGTATGAATATATGTATAAATGTCTTGTAATATATAACTGTATTATATACAATGTCAAATTACTATTATTATTAATAATAATTTTTAAACTATTATTACTAAATTTTAATAGAATTAGAAATGAGAGAAATATGATCGAGTCAAAGTTATAAGGAATGTTATTTAACAATAATGTTTAAAAAGAGTACAGACAAAATTAGTATGGTATTCTTTATGGTATTCTATTAAAAATATTCATTTTGCTTACATACCACATACTGTGGGTATTCAAACATATATGTCATATCACAAGTATTGTCTTCAAAATCCGTAATGTAAAGAGCAGCTCCAAGTATGTAGAGTAAGAGAATTAACATTAAAAATAAAAAAAATATCGTATAAACTAATACAGATTTTATTAGAAACATTTTATTTAATAATTAAAAAAATGTTATATCTTTTTGATGGAAGTAAGCATTACTATCTCGACGCAAAAATTGGGAAAATATTATATATCTGTTGTTGTATTTAATATAGTGCACTTATATTATATTATATTATGAGAGAATATGAATGAATATAAACAAATATATTTGTTTTTTTTATATTCTTTAAGTTATACAACATGGTTATGGTTTAATAATAAAATGAAATTAGTTATATAGCGTATACTCGGGGTCACCCCAGAGTCATATAAGCAAGTTTGGACACTTCTATATTGTAAACATACAAGAAACCGTTCGAAAATTGAGTCATGAAAAATCAATATGGAAGACACGAAGGTTCTCGTTCTGCACATGCGTGACGTGCTGTAAATGTTTCAGACAGAGACAGAGATACCCTACTCATTTCTGTCTGTCTTGCAGAACGAGACCCTTCATGTATTCCATGTTGATTTTTCACAATTCAATTTTTGGATAGTTTCCCCTAGCGAATGTAGAGACCTATTTGTACAGGATAGAGTGGAAATTGTAGTAAAATTGGATGGGATTTTTGTACATGAAAAAACAAAAGAAACTTTAGTATAACATTTTTCATCTTAAGCTTCGTTATCGAGAAAATTGAGTTTGAAAATGGTTTAACTGTAGTTTGTCGGACATTTAAATTATTGTCTTTTTTATTTCTCATGTAATAGTTTTAACGTGTAGAATCCAAAAATACAAGTTTCTAGGAATCTAGCGATTCAAAAGTTATGCATACATAAAACTGAGCATTTTGAGTGTATTTTATAGGTTAGTAGGATACCATATTGCTTTATCCATCATCTGATTGGTTAAAGACCATGATCATATTACCAGGTCTCGATATTTGCATAAAGAAATCTAGAGGAAACCGTCCGAAAATTGGGTTATGAAAAATCGTAAAATCATAAATGCGTAACATGCTATGAATGTTTCAGAATAAGAGACTCTCTACTCATCCATTTGTCTCGCAAGAAAGAGAACTATCTTATCTTCCATGTTAATTTTTCATGGTTCAATTTCTGGACAGCAGAATTTTCCTAAGCAAGTGTCGAGCTGTGTTTATAGGTACGTATACATATACATACGTATAATGTATAAAAATACATATAATACAACCTTATTAATATTCTTATAATATAAGCGTAATCTTATTTTCATCGAGTAAGAGCGAGTTAGGAATATGTATGAATGAATAGAACCTGGTTGATTAGATGGATTGTATGCAGTTTGGTTATTTGTGAAGGTAGAAGAGAGATGCGATAAAAATTTGTAATATATGCGAAAAAGTAATTAGGTCATTACACGAAAATGGCGATTGATATATGAATAAAAAAATTACTGTTAATTATTTAACTGTCCAGGTCCTAAATAATTTTACTACGCACAATTTATTTAAAAATTAGCAAACCATGTATTGGAACAGAATACTCTCGATAATTATATTGTTTCTTTGCTATGGTTTCTAAGATTATTTTGTATTATCAAAGAAAGTATTGATAATTCATCAGATATACAAAATATATTTAGTAAATTAATTTTATATAACGTTCAATAGATGTATAATTCTATAGTAATAAATAATGAAATTAATAAAAAACATTTGTGAAAATTATTGATAATATATCCTATTTATTTTATGCAATAGATATTAACAATTTTTTAAAAAACAAATTACTAATGTCTAGATAGTTAGATTAATATTTTATAATAAAGTTAATATTCATTATCAAACTGTGGCTGATATTTTCTTTCACTGTGATAAATTATATACTGTTGTAAAATTTGTTAAATCATATTCTTAATCTTTTATTCATTCCTATTTCTAAATAGTAATGTTTTATTTATTTACAAATCCTATAAAAAATATTGCAAAACATATTGAAATCATTGAGTATATGCAAAATTAAATACCAAACAAAGATAATGAAAATTTGTTATATCTATAGATTTTGACCATTTGTAAACAAGCTAAATTGAAATTTGAATTTCCAGTTTCTTGAAATGTTGCGCATTTATGCTCGAACTAATGATCAATGCGATCACAAAATACAACATGAGCACATTCCCCACTCTCCGCAAATAGGGAAAACCGCCTTAGTGAGTATCGATGCAGCTTTATGGGTTCGTGTAGCGCGGTAAATATGAATTTGAACAATAGTGTGACCGAGACAATGTAAAAAAGAAACTAAACGTCAAAATCATTTATCAGTGATAACTACAATTACTCTCGAACTTATCTTTTTACTTTTGTTGACATAGGAAAGAACATTGACAAGGTATAAATCGCTTGCTTTATATATGATTAACTGTTAGTTTCGAGTTATTCAATTTCATAAACACGAGCTAAGTGCTTTTGTACTCTACGGCAAACAACTCAGTCGAAAATTCCCCAAGTTCCTGAACGATCGCGTAACAGTACGAGGATGAAGTTATAGGAATTTTTTAAACAACTTTGTTTACAATTTTGAACGTACATCAACAAAAATATAATAAAATATAATATTTATAAATTTATATTATAATAAATAAATATAATATTTATAAATCAAAGAATAGGTCTACAATAAAAAGCTTCATAAAAAACGATGTAATTGTTCGATATCGTCTCTATGAAAGAATTTCTATATATTTTTACCTCCTAAGTTTTAAGGAATCACAGAATAATTACAATATAGAAATATGCTTCAATAATTTATTCTTTTCATGATAACGATAATATTACTATTAACGTTCGCCACAGTTTAAAACTGTTTCCAACCAATCATAGAATCAACTATCGATAAAAATTTAAAAAAGATTTAAAAAGCGCCATGAACATCGATGATATCCCTTATCATATTGTCCGGAAACATCGCTAGGAAACCATTCGTTGATCAAACGATAAGTTTAGTCAATCAAACCCGTAACCAATCGCATTTGTTCGAAAAAGTTTCAAAAACGGTGGTCCATTCCATTATCGTTCGGTGAGAATACAATTACTAACTGTTGCGATATAAAGCTGAATACAAAGGTTTAAATACGGAACAAGTTCGACATACGATATACGTTAGATACACGTTGTTTCGTCCAGAATTTGATACGATAATTATACGAGTATCTTTTTATTAGAATACAGTTTTCAATGAGAAGGATGATTTACAGACGCGTCACTTCGGAATTATTTAGTGCCCTTAATTTCCCATCCGAATGGCTGGATCGACGATGTCGAACTTGAGTGTGCGTACTGATAATATATCCACCCTCCTCCTGTCGATTGTGCTTCTCTATTTGGATCACCGGCATGCACCGCGGAGCTGGACCATCCAGACATTCACAACTCAGACTTGCGTCTAGCTCGCCTTGATATGGCGGTGGTATTAACAAACTTTCGGTAGACTTGGTTGGCTGAAAGTGTCTGTTAGAACTACCCGAATACGTAGTACCGCTACTCGTTCTCCTTTGAACGGTTCCAGTAGGCGTTTTTGCTCGTCCATGAGCGCCTTTCCCAGGCCTCTCTGCGCTATGTGTTTTTATAGTAGCTGTATCCAAATAACCGTATCCGAAACCGTAGCCACCGAACGCCTTGGTAGTTAGATTGTCCCAGGACTTTGGTTTAGCATACTGAAGGCACGGCGGTGGTCGTTGATGTACGCTTGGATCCCAGTAGAGGGTATCCGTGCTTAGGCTCGTCGAACAGGAGGCTACGCTTTCGGCTGCGGTCGAGATATCGCTACTAGTAACAGAATGCAGACTGTGTCCTGATGTGCGCGAGCAGCTGTGCGCACCATGTTGTTGCTGTTGTTGCGTTTGTTGCGATTGCTCTCGCTGTACATGATGATGCTGGGCTGGTTGCTGCTGCTGTTGCTGCTGCTGTTGTTGTTGTTGTTGCTGATGATGATTCTGTTCGTTTCTCGCTCTCCGTTGTTTCTCACGACGTCTACGACTGGGTACGCAATTTGGATCACAGCAAGGACTTGCTAAGTCGTACGCGTCCAAACTACCGCTATCTGATTGTTCCCTGCGACGACTGGCGCTCGAGATGCAAGCAACGCAAAGGCTATTCTGGGGTGGAGGATGAAGAGGAAGCGGATCTCCGCTGGTATTAGACTGTTGTTGCTGTTGTTGACACGATTTGTGCGATTTCGATTTGGCTGGCGTACTATTCATCCCGTTTGCCTGGTGATAGCTATGTCTCGACGAAACGGTTACTCCTGATTCGCTTGACATCTTTGAGAGGAAGTGGTGGTGATCGCTTCGCGAACGGGGAGGCCCTACTGCTACTAGACAAGCGGTGTTCCGTGGAACTAAACATGGTCGTCCATCCGGGAACTATAAAAAGTTAAAAGTGTTTGTTATTTTCTTCGATGTTGCAAAGATTAAATCGATCTAAGATATAATATATAATAGATAACGAGATGTTTCTATATAGGATACCACGTTATAAAGTAACAGATGTTCCGTGGACGTAGCAGGCCGACAACATTGAATCGTGGAAGAATTGAAACTCGATGACGGCGATGGCTGATTGGGGTTACTCGTAATGACACTGTTAGGCGTTCTCTTGCGTGCTGGCAGTGAATGGGTTTTCCATCGACCCATGAGAATAGACCGTTCCCTCTCGCAAAGTCTCTCTAATTCACCGAGTCGTGATTGAAGAGCACGTTGTAATTCGATATAGCGCATATGTAATTCCACCTGGCAAACAATAACGAATATCATGTTTGAGTAAATAGCTAAAGTGCATTCTATTTTTTAAACGAAAATTAAAGTTTTAGAAAGTGGCTATACACTTTCTCGATATTTACCTTTCTTACACAGTCTTCGAACGACACAACCATTCGCATTCTGGTATCACAGTTCTTTATGAAATTAACCAGTGTCTTGTGATCCGCTCTGTCCATTTCGTGGCCGTTTATCGAAAGTATCACGTCACCCTCCCGCATTCCCGCTTTGAACGCTGGTCCATCGTATTCCACGTAATCAACGTACGTGACCATCTCGATTTCCTGCTCCCTCTTGTAATGTATCCCATAACTCTGTACAATTTCAAGCGAATCGATTACAATGTTTATATTTCAAACGAATTTTAATTCTTGTAAGAGTTGAACTTTCTGGAGAAATTACTGTAACATTTGTGGAAACAAAGATAGTTACAGGGTACAATGAAGGTGTAATTATTGATAAGAGGAGCGCACAGAGATGTTATATTTTATGTACCTTGCAGAAAGTACGAGCAGATAAACGGTTACGTTACCTGTAACGTGAAACCGTATGTGCCATTTTTCTTCTCGACGATGATGGTACGACGACGTCTGTCCTCATCCGCTCGTGTCACTCGATCTGACTTTGATCTCTCCAACACAGCCTAAAAAGAAAAAGCGCAACACCATGGTAAACTCACGATAAGCGCGAAACAAAGGAGCATCTATTATCATCTTCTAGCAATGCACATACTTTGACTAGTAAAACACATGTCCCGATAAATTAAACCAACTTTTAACTAAACTTCTAACGAATCTACATCCTAAATGTAGCGTCGCAACGAAAACAACGTAACCCAAGATACACATATAATGATGCATGTTCGGAAAATACTCGCGTGGGAGATGGAAAATAAAAATCAACAGACGCATCTACCAACAGGGAACAGAGGAAAAGAAATCTGGTAACAGACGAACAGTAACAACAATAATAACAAAAAAATAATTAAGAATCAGATAATAAGATTCAACACACGTTGTGCAATCCACAGAATTTCCTTGACCACGAAAAACAACTCGAAATGGGCAACAAGAAACTGCTCGAGGAAGGCTGTTTCAGCAAATAAAAATCATTCTTTCGATACACGAGTCGATGTAATAACATTACACATTCCACGACACCACTCCATTCCTCCTCGTCGCTGTTCTCAACGCCGGCACGGTGTTGTTGCCCGGCCACCTCGGTATTCTGCGGCGAGTTGTTCATGATCCCTCGAGATACACACGGAACAACGACAAAAAATCGGGAGGACCGACCGTATTATCTCCACGAAGAAATATCGGATCACCACCTGGCGGGGGAGATCCCTATGTGCGTGTGGCCGTGGTCGAGAGAGAGGTGCCGAAGAGGCTTTATCAGGGTGTACACACACGTTTCCCGTGCTCTCTGTACTTCACTTTCGATCGTGCTTCACTTTCACGTTACTCTCACGCATTGTGCTTACATTTCGAGAGGCGACGCGCCAGCCAGCCAACCAGCCAGGCCGCGAGGTTAACGTGCGTTTAGGCGCGATTATATATGCTCTTTTATTGTTATCTTCCTTCCCGGCTGGTCGCCGGTTTCCAATGCGCCTGCCCGACAATATCGGCTTACAACCCTGTTCGTCGTTCGGTGGCAGGCACTGAGGGTGGCGGAGGAAAGAGAGAAAAGCACGCGCAGTCTCATCCTCGTGGTCCCTCCTCTCTCACGTTTACCCCCTGCCTTCATTCTTTCCGCCACCTTTTATCACCCACCTTCCTTCCCTTCTTATCCCTTCCCGTACATATATGCGGGACAGGAATAACTCCTCGCGTGCAATGTCCTTGCAGTTTGCACACCGACCGCTTGTTTCCTCCGCGGTTCATGTCAATGAACATATCGTTTTCCATGAATCAACTTAGCTGGAGAAATGTTTCTTTTTTTTTCTTTTCTCGATTTAAATTTTTCTTCCATGTTCTTTGTATCTTGAGATGAAATTTCCTATGATTGGCGGACACTGTCGACCATAGGTATTAGATTAGAACACCTATTGATTATATTTATTGGAAAACTTTAGCAAATTTTACTTTACTATCTCAGTTAAGATGGTAGATGGGATAGTTTAACTAAGGAAAGTAGCATAGAAAATCCTCAACTTGTGGAGTGAACATTCTACAAAATATTTTATTGCATCTTCAATGGTCTAAGCGGAACGTGTAAGATATTTTGATAATTAACAAAAGGGTAATACAGGAAAATGGAAACTGAAGGCAGCGGGAATGTTTCATCAGTTAGATTCTTCTTATTTCTTCACTATTTCCATTTTGGTACTTCGCCGAACTGGGCACTGAACGACGAGAATAACGTGTCACGACGCCATCCTCGCCATGGTCTCTGATGTATTTTTACAAATGCCTCGACAAACAGAGAAATACGTATCTTTTGCGTAGCGAAGAAGAATGTAAAGGAAAGATATTCGAGCAAAGTGATCGCAAAGGAATCGCTTATTGTCGGATTCATTTACTGCTACTTCTTCTTCTTCTCCTTCTTCATCTTCTTGTCCGTACCGCTCATTTTGTCAACTCTTTGCTTCACGATTCTTTCCATTGGTGAAATAATCGGAGTCTTTTGTATTTTCGGCGGTGGCAGAGGCGGAGGCTTTGGCTTTGGAACTGGAACGTGCCTGTGGAAATTAATTATTCGTTTCACTAAATTATTTTTCATAACAATAAACAAATAAATCTTACTTGATGAACATATGTATTTCTTGAAGGGATCGATCCTTAGTTACATTGATCCAAATGTTCGATTGTGTTCTGGGTTTCACGCATAAATCTTTGCCCGCGCAACATTCGGCATTATCGCGTTCTTCTTGAGCCTCAAACTTTTTTTGCCAGCATTCTTCCCATTTACGCAAACGTTCCTTTTCTTCCGCTTCGCGTTGTGCTTTTCCTGCTTGGTCCATCCGTGTTTTCTCCACAGGCCGATGAAGTTTCTTTCCAGTGCGTTTCTTTTTTCCAGCTTGCTCCACTGTCTTCAGATTCTCTACATTCCCGATGTTTATCTTTTCCCAACACGACTCACTAATTGTTTCCTCCGGCCGTTTTAATTGCGGGAAAGTTTCTCCTTTAATAGTCGGTAATATCTTTCTCGTGATATTATTCAGATTAAAGAAGGCGTGAACGAATATCGCTTCCCATTGGAGGGCTATTAATGTATTTTCGGTTAGAATTCTGAGTAATATGTATGGAGAGATTAACTGAAAAAGAAAATATAAAACCAATAAAAGAAAATTAATAGAAGTATGGGTAGCTTAACTCTCAAGTGGTATATCATTGAATCATAGGAAAGTGATAGGAAGTGATAAAAATATTTTTTGATTACCGAGGAGAAGTAGTGGTTGCTCAGGTTCGGATTGTGTGCTTCGTTATTTGTTATGCTTATCATGACTACGGACAATTTTGTTCCATGTGTGTTTGAGTTAGGAAATATGGATAGGTTTTGAAGGTTAGGTGTTGAAACAAAAGCGATTAGTTATTGAGAAACACTTTCATCGATTGTTCCCATAAGAACACGTGTTCAGATTCTTCGATTTTTTTCAACGAGTTATTTTATATCGCACGTATTCATTTTAAGGAAAGCCTTGAAGTTCTATAAAACAAAATTTAATTCCCTGTAATTTCTCGAATAAATTAATAAATTTAAATAACGATCTGTTTCAAATAACGATCCTTAATAACCACTTATATGAATTTTATATGACGTTAATACTTACACAAATAAAATAAAATCATCCGTCTTATTCGCTTGGTACATTGACCTCTTTACCTTCTAAGTATCACGGAGAAGTTTCTACTGTTTTCCAAGAAAAGAAAAGTTTCTTTTCATTTCTGTTAACCACAGGTGCAACTGTATTCCTTTACAGGACATCCACATTTTTTCACGATCTCCTTGCTAAGCAAATCACCGTGTGGTTTGGGTCCTGTCGATAGGGAGGAAGCACCGCAACAAGGTGAACAAGGAGCTGGCTTTGCACACGGGCTACATTTCCCTCCTGCAGCTGCTTGTTGACGAGCAATGGCGCGAAAACTGGATATTGGCTCAGAACAACAACACGGGGAAGCTACTTGATCTTTCCGTCGGGCTTTCGGCGAACATGGACATTGTTTCCTAGAAAGAGATAAAAGAAGCTCGTATATTATTTAGTAAAAGATAATTGAAGAATTTGCAGTAATTATGCAGAGTTTCGATGTTTTGAATTGTACTTATTGGGGGAGAAAAATAGCGTAAAAGTTTATTTCGAATTTATCTTGAATTTATATCACGTTTGAAAAAGTATATTGATTTTTAGTTGGTGTTTGTTAGTTTATTCAAATTACTGGAAAATAGATCTATTTTCTTATTGCTGCAGTCCCATTAAATAAGTGAACAAATGTTGCGACAAAGATCTTTCTTTTATGATGGACATCAAAGATAAAGTAATGGCACTGGAATGAAACAAAATGCACTCAGACGTGACTAAAGTCTAGGCAAACTGATCTAGCTGAATTGCTTTCGCTTTCGAACGCGTCCAATTCGAACAAACGAACCTCTCTCTGCTCTAGTTTTAGCTCATCCTTCTGTTAGTCACGAGTGATTAAAGCTTCTCATCTGCCTAGAGTGCAGAAGAAATCTAACGTCTAAAAAGTTAGATTATATTTTAGTAATATGAGACAGTGTAAGAAATTAAGAAGAAAAGAACAAAGGGCAGTTAGAAATAACCAAAAATAAACTGATATTTAAAAAATAGTGTTTTTAAAGTAGAGATTTTGTAAAAATTCAGAATACTAAAACGTAAGAATCCGGGATATTAAAGAGAGGAAATGACTACGCACGAATGATCAAACTGGTTGCACAGCTGTTCGTTTAACTCTTGGATTATTAGATCATTGAACCTAATCTTGTTCAAAAAGGATGCAAAACGAGAAAAACGAGTACCCTGAGGATGGTTGACGCGAGGCGCAGCACGGTCGTGGACCATAATCAGGAGGTTTAGGCAAGGGGGGGCACGAAGACGTCTGAACGATCGGTGTGGCACAACAGGTTCTTCCTGTAGACTCTCCACTACCATCGATACATTTCTTCGTACAGGTACACGTCAATGGAGCTGGTGTATAGCATTCAGAGGGTATCTTCTTGCATTGAAAAACAGGACTGTCGTCCGCCCCTTTAAACAGATATGGTTTCCTATTGTGTGGTATCTGAAACTGGGTGATGATCTTCTTGCCGAAACAGGAAGCTCTTATGTAAACTGTCACAGATCCAACGCATTGTCCTGTTGCCGTAGTAATTTTAAACGTGTCCTTGATCGTTTGACAAGGATTCGGTATTTTGAAGACTTGTTGGCTCAATACGGCGTTTATTATTGCTTTTGCCTCGATTTGATGACAGCCAACCAGCATCACATCTGGTAGCACTCCAGGTGGTAGTTTCTTATAGACAGATAGTTTTATGGGGAACGTGGTTAAAGGTCTCTGAAGAACGATCGATGGCAACGCGAATAAACAAGATTTGCCTTTCTTGAAAACCTGCGTGTCGCCTTCGGTGCAACCGCAGCCATCTGTCAGGGCTTCTTGGCAAATGTCGACTGGCGGTAGGCTAAGAATCTGCGGATTTATTTATGAAAATATGCTTAGTGTAGGTTCGATAGATTTTTTGAATTAAAACAGAATTTTTAACGGATTTGTACTTTTTAACGAAATTGCTAGGATTGAATGTTTTATTTTATTACGATAAAGCGAAAAGCCGATTGAAAAACTGTTTACCTATTAAAGAAATATATAGGAACATGTTTACATGTGTAAAGATTGTGACTGGTGAAAATTTGTTTAGTCAATGATCTATTTGGCAGTTTAATAAAATGCTGAATTACCTGAAAGGAGACACAGGTACACGCAGGTAATAGATCGTCCTGCATTGCCCTTATCACTGGGATTTTAACCTTTTCGACTAGAAACTCGATCAAGAAAAGTTCCTGTTCATCCGCCATTTTTTGAACACGATATAATATTATGAAGTTTCGAATACGCTTCCCATAATTTTAGCTCTTGATTATCAGAATATTTTAGAAAATTTGTCTGTTAACCCTCAATTTTGATATTGCCATCAAGTCGGACGGTTACGGAAATTTTGAGATTCGGAAACCATCCAGGGGGCGCTCCGCAGTATAATTCAAAATGCTCATTCATCTACGACTTTGAGAATAAATTGCGTCTCTCATTTGTATTATTTTACTTCGGTGGATTGTATAATTTTTAAATAGATAAAAGATATAACTTGCTCTACTAATTCGAGTAAAATAATTCTCAAGCAAAAGTAGACTTCAAAACCTCAAACAAATTGTAAAATACTCCACGAAGTAAATACTTAATCAGATCTAACAATAAAAGCTTAATTTAACTTCGTAGTAAAGAATAAGTTTAATAACAATCCGTATAAACGCAAAATGCAACGTATACAACGATAAAATCAGTATTCTCGCATTTGTAATCCAAAAAACGGTATCCAAAAAAGACCCAATCTATCCAATTCATTTCTTTTTCTTTTTCTTTGCATGTGTCTTTTTGTACACCTTATCGTCAGTCTGCATCTCTCTGGTCTCGCATCGGATAGGAGGTCCCCTTTCGGGCCCTTTCGGTGTTTTCATTTCCAACTGTATATCCGACTTTTCTCCAGCTCCGACAATCCCTTTTTTCCCAATTCTGAGGACGAACACGTCATGGTCAGGATCGGTATCTGGTGTAGCTTCGGACTCAGGTGCCACTGTGACTGTCGGCTTTTTGTCCTGACCCGTGTCCAGAATCCCGGACACTTTCAGAACCACAGCTTTTCCACACGGTTGCACCGGTCCACGGCTCGATTGTATCAAACCGGCCTGCTTGTGCACATCGGAACAAATATTCGGTTTCGACGTCGTCACATGAGTTACTTCGCTGATCTGTTTGCAACTAACGTTTGGTTTCAACGTGGCCCCGATTGGCTGTCCACACGGTGTACAAGGATGTTGTTCCTTGATACAAACGCGACAAGGCGGCCCGTCTTTCAATAATTCGTCTTTCGACTCCCTACAGACGTCCGCAACGTGAGGATCAACGATACGACATTTGTAAGTTGGTGATTTTTCGTTACAGTCGCCGCCTTTGAAGATATAAGACGAGATAGTTCTATCAGGTGGTGCGTCAAATTCGGTGACGATAGTTTGCCCGAATGCAGAAATTCTGACGAACATGCATATATCGCCGATCGTGTTTTCGTTATAAATTACAGGAACTTCTCCCTCGAAGACTTTCGGTGGTGGTGCCATTTTGTGCCAGCATTGCAACATTTCTTTTCGTAGGGCGGCGAAATGTTTGGAAATATCTAGCTCCCCGTTACCTATTAACACATCTGGTTTCACACATTCTGGCATTTTTTTTTCTACACATAGTTTTATGATTAGGTCCAAGTCTTTGTTGACCACAGTGTATTGATCTATGGCGAACATCACGGAGCGACCACAGAAGAAATACTCGATATCGTCTGCAACTCCTGCTTGAGGTTGAAATAACGGGTCCACCGGAGTTATTTCGATACCGTTCCTCCCTGTGAAGTTGAGGAACTCCACAGATATCGTCGTGGGGACGAAGAACATTTGGTTGAGCTTCGCTAAACGTTCGCTGGTAACGTGATGTATGAAGAATTCTAATAAGAAGAGATATTGTTCTTTGCAGTCTGAAGAAACAGCATCGCGACTTCCGAACTCTGGTACTACTACCGCTTCCGATTTGTTTTTGCTACTCTCCTTTGAAATTTTTTTCTTCGCACGATGACCACGGTCCGTAGGTCGATTCATAGACATCACGATAATCTGAATGAGGAATTGATAGAGCTTATTTGAATTTCTTGGTGACTGGAATTACTTGAATTTACACTTCGAATTTTTATGAAATTAGAATTATTAGGTTAGAGCATTTCCATGAAGCTTGCCACGAAAATTAGTCGTAATGGTTTCAGACAAGACGAACAACCTTGAGGAACTGGTTTCGATTTCTTGCTCATAACTCATTGGTACTTTCGATCGAGGCGCGATTTGGCGCCAAGATGATCGGCTTGAAACCGAGAAGCGGAACCGCATTTCCTTGATGAAGTTCCGAGAGTCACGTCGGAACCGATCAGCGATGCTGTCATCTTGATGAAATGGTCGTGGTTATCTTCACTTGCAGACAGACGAACCACAGTTCCCATGGAACCTCAGTGAATCATCGATTCGATAAGTTTGACTGATTCGCAAACTCTGTAATTTCACAAGTAAATTTCACGTAGGAGTTTAATTCTTCTTTCTTTTTTCGAATTTGAAAATGTTCATGGTATGAATAAGGAACTATTTAATTAGTGTTTGCATATGGTGAACTGAAAATTATAATAATGTATATAATTTGAGATTTCGAGAGTTTAAATTTAATCAAATATTTTGACCTTTTAAAGTATCATTTCTTTTGCTATTAATATTTTAATTTGTTATTTCAATTAATATTTAAAAATATTTCATTCTCTTATTGCAAAAATATAACGAATTCTGTATATTAAAATATCAGAACACTATTTCGTGTAAACTTGTAGTGGAATAATTTACACTACCATTATTCTCAATCAGTCCTCCATATGATAGTTACAGGAGAAAAACATAATAAGTATATTTTTATTGATTTTTTAATTTTAATATCACTTTATTGCTAAAGAGGGAAATTTTGATATAAAGTAGAAAATTAGATAAAAATTCAATTATGGTAACATGGGATTAATCGACTGTTCCCTTTTAAAAAGTTTGACTTATTATGTTCTACAGTCTCCGCATAATTATGATATAATCATCTTATGGCGGGGTGATCTAGTTTCCAGAGCCAGCACCTCTCGATTATTACATAACTGAGGTTTCGCCAACATTCTTATCTGATGGAGTATTTTACCATGGAAAACCGGCTCCCTCCCATAGATGCGTAGCTAAACAGTTCAAGTCGATAAAAAGGACAGTGTGTAAGTTTATCGGTTAGAATATCGACTAATCTTGTTCAAATACGATATCATTTTCAACATACGTTATTGTTTGAAGAACGAGCATCTTGTTCAACGCGAAAACCGTTACCAATCGTTATACCAATCGTTTCATGAAGATATATCTATATCATAAGAAAATTGGAGAATCGCACAACGAAAAGTTTGTCAAATTTGTCGACTTTTTATATAATAACGCATTTCAGTAAGGAACGAAATTCCCAATGATGGATTAATTGTTTTGAGCTTATTATATAAATTTATAATAACTTTTCTTTCTTCTTCGATCGATTCTTTCTCTTTTTGTCTTATATTAGAATTATGACTGTTACTTATATTTCAATTTAAAACTCCACTTGTGTGGACAATGTTTCCAGATATACCTGTGCTAATTATATTGACATTTCATGAAACCGTTTTCATAAATTATTATGAAATTTATTGCGCAAAGGATTGCTGAATATATATACAGATATATTTTTTATTTGTTAAAGCGTTCTAAATAAACGAAGTTTCAATTATTAGCTCTGATAAGCGTATCCGTTTAAAGTTTAAAGCACGTGACAGTCAAACGAGGGACGTTATATTATGTTTATCGCCAATCGTTTAATGGATCCCCCTCGGCCAGTGGCATTAAAGGCGGTGCCACAATTGAATTAAAACGATCGAATTAGGCGAATGTTCGTGCAATTGTTACAGACGACCCTGTAGCACCCATACAGGAACTGGATACACACGCTTTAGACCGATATCTTGAAAAAGAGAAAGAAGGCTACGTGGATTCTCCTATAAAGGATAATGGAATCGTTTTCCAAACACTTAGTACCATGCCAAAATGGAAATCTGATTATCAACAGAAGCAAAAACGTTAGTACTGCGTAATATTATAAAGATTGTGATTAAAGATTCTTTTACTTTAATTATTAATCTTTCCATTACCTATTACGTGTATATATTATTTTGCTAATTTAAAAAAAACACTGAATATAGACAAGAATATTTTCATTGCAAATAATTAAACAAGATATTTAAATATCGAATGAAACTAGCATTCCAAATTTAATAGCACTAGATTTAGAATTAATTTTATCGACAGAACGTAAGTAAATGAAAAACAATACCATAGATTCTAATGGAAGTATCTGCAGTTTTCTGTCGGTAATAACGTACGAACGAGTAGATCCTCCGAATTGTCTGGAATATTAATTGCTCCCCAGTTGAAGTAACAGATCCACACATACCGGTCTGGCAATTTCGACCAATCGAACGTTGGCCGGACGAATAATTGAATGTCCCAGAAGCAATCAATGATCTAGCGAATTCTGAACGACACTAATTCGCTAATGAGTCACGAGTGATTTATGACCCAATTTCAGCAAGCCTTCGGATAAAATAGTATTAATTGCTAATCACCGATCCATGTCACCAGCGAAAATAAACTGTTCCAAGATGAATTTAGTTTCAATCTTAAGAAAAATGAAAAAAAAATGTTTTTTTTTAAGCAATTTTCACTATATTCTTTAATTTACTAATTCAATAACTTATTACGGTTTAAATATCTTTAATTTATAGCTGTGTTTTCGATATTCCCGCGATCAAGACAATATGAATTATGGTACACTCGTGAAAGACGATTGAAATATCTTGAAAAACAGAAAGCAGCCATTGTGCCATGCGGAAAAAGAATAGAAAAACTCGAGTAAGTATTCTTGTTGTTCCACTGACACTGACTGAAAAGAATAGAACAGTACTACCAACAGGACGGATGACGAGCCGTGTGATTTGTTACAACCACCAATTTGGTGGAAAGATAAATCCAGAAAATCAAGCAAGTTTCCAGTTGGAGATATAAACGACTATGCGTTCGAGAAATTAAAAGATTTCGATCATGAAAATATGGAACTTAGCGAAAAGCTCGATATGGATTATCCAAAAAAATATATACCAGACGTAATCCATCAAATACAGGTTACTATTTATACAGGTTACTATCTCTACAGACTATCGTCTATAGTAATGTTATTATCTATACATCCAAGGTCTTCTTTGTTGCAAATGAATTTTCAAATTTTCAAGTTTTCAAATATTCAAATATTCAAATCTCTTTTGTGTTTAGCTGTCTAACGGCAACGTTCGCTAAACCAGTATATACTAGAAAAAAAGATTAAAATAATTTGTCTGTGTAGTGTGAGAACTGCGGATCTGTCGAATTAAATATCCGGGATATCGCACTGCGACGCCAAAACAACGTTCTTTTCCGTTAAAATCGTCGGTCACATGAGCTTTATTCGTTTCGTCGCGATAAAAATCGTATCCTTATCTCGACATTTGCAAGCAACACGAAATGGATCACGGTCGTAACTTCGACTATCGTCGGACTGAACATTTGTTATCGCAACTGACAAATTACCACATTTATATTATTTTTAATACCACATTTTTAGTAAAAATTAAAAAAAACACTAAGATGCCATTTTAAACTATAATAATAAAACATTCGAATCAAATTATTTTGGAATCTTTTTACGATAAAATAATTGGATTTTGATGATATTATATAAAATAACATACCTGCGATGCTACAAAATCACTTTGAATGGAACATCTTTGGAATATTTTTATGATAAAAAGATTAAATTTTAAAGATATTTCGTGAAAAACAGCTGCGTAGTATTTGTCCATCTCATTGATGCAATAGCGTTACCGTGTGCACAAGATGTTACATGTATTTTTCATACGATATTATATCAAGACTGCGCGATCACGCGTCGAAAAATATACGTGACAAACGCGAAATGCAAATACGTATCTTGTTAGCATTTGCGTTTCTTGCACCTCTTTCAACTTGATCGTCCTCAGTTGGCGCGGATAATAGACGAATGATTAAATTTTGAACAGAATCCAGAAGACACGACTATGAAGGACACTCTTGATCGTGCAGATGCTTTTGAACTCGCTCTAGTAAGAAACGAAACTTTGCCAGCGAGACCTGTTGACATAAATGTTTGTTATTCTGAAAGACGTACGTGAACTTTTACCTTTTTATTCTATTGGAATTCTGCTACGAGATTTTACATTTCATATGATTCTTATTTAAATAACATAAAGTAACCTCTTACTTTTTTTCAATTTTCTAAGTATCATAATGGGTATTTTTATCTTCTTTAAAATTATTTGGATTTTGCTATACCGTTTTTTGACTGCTATAGAAAAAAATGATAGAAATTTTACCGTCCTTTCTATTTCTGTAGTTGATAATGAATTTAAGATTGTGTGATAATGAATTTAATAAATAGTTTTTAAATTTGTTTTTCTAGCGCCGATACTGGGTTGTTGTGAAACAGAAAAGGATGTAGAAGGTGATAGTGACAGACGATGGCAACCTGTTCATGAAACTTTAGAACTTCCAAAAACGGAGTTTGAAAGAGACCATGTACTACGAGAATTAACTAGGCCGTTTTTACACAATTTGCATACGTGGTACTCAAAGAATAAACCGACAAAGTTAATCATCCCCCTTAGACATTCTGGAAAGAGACCAATGCCGGAGTGGCGCTTTTCTCATTTGTAAATTGATTAAAATTAATAAAATTACTTCGATAAAAGTTCATTACAAAATCCGATCTGTAAAGTTATTATACAAAATGGTCTTATACGATATAATCTATGTTATTCATAAATAGATTAGAATCATACACGGGTTAAACTAAAATGAAGTGTTATCGATTGATAGTAAATCAACGACGACGTAATTATGAAATGTGTTGCACAGATGTTTCACAATTTTTAATTCTTAGTAGAAAACGTCAATAGTTAATTGCAACAAGACAAATACATATATTTTCATTTTTCGATTAATTTTGCTGATACATGCTGTATTAGTATACTATCTTGCTTACTTAAAATGTCCTATTTTATTTTTTATGAAAAAAATTGAAATTGTATTATTTTTTTGTGCCATTTTGATTCTTCTTTATCCAAGTAAAAATATTTAATCTTTATTATTTCCTAACAGTTCGTATACGACATTACTTAAGAGGTAAAAAAACTAGGAACTAAATATTTCAGTATATCTTGAAAAATCAAAAACTATGTACAAGGTACAATATTAACAAGCTAATTTACTAAGCGTAACAAACGATAAATACACATTATATGCACATTAAATGCACATTATACAGAATTGATTTAAACGTTACTGTTAAACTACGCCATGAGCGGCCAAGATACGGTTATATTTCTATTTTACATGATGCTTGCAAATTCCACAAACACAGCGATCATCCTCATAACGAAAACTGCGTTGTTATGCTTTCTCGGGATTTTGTTCTACGATTTATTAAATTTTATATACTATATATCTCTTAATTTAATTTTTGCCCCCCAAAAATTATTGACGACAAAATATTAATGAATCAATAAAACTTCAAACAAAATTCTTACTCAAATAAATTTTTCAAGATGACATGGATACAATTGAATGACAGGTTGCAACATTTCGCATGGATTGCATTTACATTTCATCGAGCACACTCTTCTCGATTATCAATGAACCGTAGCCACGCTCAATTGCGTATATGATCATGAATTGCGCGATCAGATTGCTCCGATGAAAATTACGTTCAATACCTTTTTTCCTCCTTATCAAATGTTTCAACAAGACCCGTTAACTCAACATCGTCTATGTTTTCTGAAGATAAGAACAAAACTTTCGTAATACGATGCAATATGTTCATAATCGTAATGCTATTTTACATCAGTGTGATATAGAAAATAAATGTTAATAAAATATAAGTGTTAAAAAATGTTAATAAAAATGTTTTTGATATAGGAATTGCGTAATACTGATTAATATCATGCATTACTAGCGGTAACGGTTAAAAGATTTGATTGGTTATAGACGGAATTGATTGACATTTTGATCGTTTAAATCGCATCGCTTTATTTGCCTGTATATCTGTACGTAACTGCAGACACCGCCGGCCAGGATTTCATCATGCAGTCCTTACCACGTGTTCGGCGAACTAACTTAACACAAAAACCACACCTCTAATTGCAAATATTAATCTAGATAGATAAATTATTTCGAGCCACAGATAAGTCGATTAAATAAAAAGAACGAAAATAATATTTTTTTAGATGACGAAAAAATAATATGTATCGATATAGAAAATTTGAAATAATAACAGTATAAAAATTTCATACCCACAGAATCCATTCAATAAATATATACATATCTAAATATTTATTATTTATTCTCACACACTCTCTTTTACTACTAACATTGAACTTCGATACCAGAAAAAGAGAATTAATTGCAATATTCGTGTAGTTAATTATTCTGGTATGATTTTAAAGATTATGGATAAACCGAAATTGGACCATTGATCATTACATAGGACGTTCGACCTCTAGCGGTTGCCTGATGAAACGCAGTGGACGCTCTTCCGCGGACAAAAACTTTCAGTTTATTCTCGTTTATTCTTGTCTGGACAGCACGGCACTCTCTTTCAGTCGGTGTTTCGCGGTAGAATACTGTGGTCGTGTGGCACGAATACGAGCCACACTCGTGTAGTGTACACTGTACAGTGGCGTATTTGTGTTGTAATAAATTCACTGATCCACTGTACTGAACCGCTGTTTGCCAGAAATGAAGTAACATTGGATTACGAGATCGGTCCTTACGTGCCACGTTCATCTTTATACACCTTAAAATCACCGAATAACTTTTGTGTCCCTAACGGTAGGTATGCATGAACATTCCATTTACATTTGAAACCCATTATTACACTATCGCTCCCTCTATCGCTATTTAAAAGCTAATATACTCGATTTAAATTACAAAACATACGACGACCGATGATCAAAGTTCTTTGATCATCAATTCAAATTGATCGATTTCCAAATTAAGCTCTTGCGCGAAAATATTTAATATTTATGTGGTCGACGATAATTAATCGCGATCAGTATGGATTTTATTATAGTGAATCATGATCAATACAAATTTCATTCCATATTCTGAAATTCATTGGCACGCTCCGAACTGGTTAAGCAAGAGAGGTTTCTCAAATATGGGTAGTATATTTTTGTACCTAAATCTAAGAAGTCACGTCAATCTGGATAGTACACACATTTACAATTCTACTGGTTCTCTTTATTTTTCTGTTAAATTCCCACCCGTCAGCATACGTACATTTTGGAAGATTTAACGCACGCGCATCGAACCAGCTGCATTCGACTGCTATTTATTGTAAATCCTTAACCTATACCTTTATATACAGTATACGAAATTCAAAGAAATGGACGGCATTTTAATACAGTGAAATTTTATTCCCTCTTATTTTACATCTTACCTTCCGAGCTCTTCGTGAGTTTTATGTTCGTATAAACTTATCGATTAAATAATTTTAAATGACTTAAGATTAGATTCAAAGGTTATTGATGTATCGTTAAAAAAATGCGATTCATCTTAATTCAGAAGACTAAATGTTAGTTTTGTAATAGCTACCGTTGAACGAAATCTATTCTCGATTACTGATAACATCCTAATGGCAAGTTTATGAGTATGGAAACTCTTCTTTTTAATATTACATTAATAAAGTATAATAAAAAATAACATAGAACTTGAAAATTTAAAGAACGATGATTTATAAATATAACGGTTGTTATAATGCATAAGCTATAAACTTTACAAGGTGTTTCATCACTACAGTCACGCCGCGACCAGCACGTGGTGTTAAGTTTGTGTAGACACGACTTGTATGGCTCGTGATAGCAGTCCCATCGCACGGTAGCTATGTATGATGTAACTTCGGGTCGATATTTCGGACCTGCGCATCGAAACTCCCATTCTCTGTACAGGCAAATTCGTTCGTTACCCTTTCACCACACGGAAATCGATTTTTCTTCTAACTAATTTACACTTTTTATCGCGACAGTATGTTATCATGCTGTATGCTTATCGATACATAACACGTCAACATCAACCCAATAATTGATGAACTCATTGATATGTGACTCTATAATATGGTTGAAAAATCATCTCTGATTTCCATTTTATCGCTTTGCCATTCGAAAAAACAATGGCTTAAGGAATTGTTTGTAATAAAGGTAACTGTTATAATGAATCGTATCGTGTTAACACAGTCAATTGAACAAACTGTTATAGACTCAACTAATTTTTTCTATCAAATATGTAACATTCGAAAAAGTTGGCGACGAATTGGAACAATCGTTTGTATAAATAGACAGATAAAAGAGTATTGTTATTATAATTATATTTATAATTAAATTTTTAAATATATATTGAAATCGTCTATCAGAAAGCGAATTCATTGTAGCTAATGCATTTTTATTCTAGATTTTATGTTCTTTCATTGACTAGTTTTTATGATAATATTCTGCAATATTCTACATATGTGAACATTATGTACATTGTGTACATTAATGAATATTTCTCGCGACCATTTTGATATTTCCTACATACCAACATTTTTATATTTTTTGTGAATTAAATGAAATCTTACTTATCATTCAAATTGTAACCTTTCAGTATATCTACAGAATAACTAACGAAAAACGCAAAAGAATTATAAAATTTTCAATTTTTTACGTTGCCTATTATAGCACTGCCAAATAATATGGGTTGCACCAGAAAGGGGCAGAGACATATTTCTTGGAACGTAAGGAGACTCTGGCCAATCCTGTTTCAAAGTAGTATGAAAGGGTTTTAGTCGACTTTGTCCATGCAACGATAAGTTCTTGGAACGAAAGGTATTTGGCGTTCTTAACCTAATAGGGAGAGCTCCCCTGTGTGAATGACATCGCTGCGTGACCGAACGGAGACGTCTTCCTTTTTGACTTTGGTAACGCGTTTTCTCTTTTTTTTCTGTTATTATCAGTTATTGTTTACCTGGAATTGGTCCCAATTAATTGCGCCACTTTTTCTGCTTTTATAAGGTACAGTATATAATAAAATACACCAATTTAGTAGTGTTAAAATTAATTAAGAAGTTACACTATCAGTTATAACTAAATAAAATTATAGTCGAACGATATCACACTGTAAAAAGATATTAAAATGCATTATGTATTTTTAATTTCACGTTCAAGTCGTGTTATTTATCTTTAGTCATCTTCAATGTTTTTAATTTTACCTCCATTCTTTTATACTTTTAATATATACTTTTAATTTGGTGTTTTGTATAAACAATATGTGAAATCGTTAAACAAAATCATTACCGCAAAGTAGAATTGACCACTTGAATAATTTTTAGACTTCTTTGTTTTTTAAGTAGTGAACATTAGTCCTCGATACTTGGAAAAATGCGCGATAGTCAGCGTATAAGTTGGCTTGTCCGAGCGCGGTGGACAGCGTATAGCTCGCTGTGACGCGCGCGGTTGGCTAAGTGTTAATAATAATTTCCTTGAATTGTAAGAGAAATTTTAAAGGTTCAGTACAATTTGATTCGAAGAAAATCTGTAGTAGAAAAGTAAATCTAAAAAAATAAAGTTTCTAGGAATAATTGCAAAGTATGTATCCAAATACATAAATGTAGCATGAGCATCAAGCTCCCTGAACTCGAAAGGAAACCGGTCGAAGGTGAAACTATTCAAGAATCTTTATGTAGTATAAATAATTTTATTAACCTTGTAGTTCCGTACCAACTTTATCATACATATGTATCTATCTAACATGTAACTGTGACGAGATTGACTTTCCTTGTTACATGTCTATAGTCTATCGGCGGGTGCGTAAAGGTCATGTGGAGGTCAACTTTGTTTTTTGAACAGAATTATATATTTTTTAGTACGTTAATCGGTGCAGATTCAGATTCTCTATAGGAGATTAATAGCTTACCTATGTCAAAAAATTATTAATTTAGTAGATATTCCAACTTTTAATCGTAAAACTTGTTGTATGAAAGACAAGAAAAATAAATGCAAAAGTAGTACCTTACGTCTTTCCTTTTCTGTGATAAGTATTTTTTCTTTTTTTTTTATTTGGAAGAATTTTACAATCAATTCTCATTGAGAATTACGAGTAAAATATGATAAGTTATGTGAAAAAGTTGTCAGTAGAATTTTCTCTTAAGGGAATACACAACGTCACATTATTTACTTCTGCTACGATGCTTGTGTTACATGACATAAGCTTCGTCCAATAACAACCGTTATTTATCCTCCCACCTCCATCTGCATAAAGTACGACTCATGACATCATTGTCCATTGACTTTTACGCCCTTTTTTGTCAATTCGATAATGTTACAGCGATGATAACTTAATTTGTTTTGATGTTCCGTCGTAAAATTCGGATTTTACTTAGCGTCTATCATACACATATTTAGTATCTATTATACGCGTATTGCCGTATGAAGCCGGCATAAGGTTGCGATTTACTCAAGCAATTATTGTTAGATGACAACGGTCTAAGGATAGGATGAATAAAATCGACCACCCGCAGTGATTAATTGTTCTATTCGAAATGCTTTCTTCTCCTTTATTGCTCTTGAAAAGATCAATTCTACGAACCGGTCATAGAGATAAACCTTGACATCTACACAACGAACTAGAAAACGTAGTCTCGAGGTGACCTAGTTTTCAAATGCGTTCAGCAACTTCGATACAGGTGACTATACTATCGAACGCGTGTTTTTCACTAATACAACGATGCTATTGAAATGTAATGATTAATGAAATAAACACGAAAAAGAATTTTAAATGCTACAGTACAAAATTTGTTAAATAATATTTCCCTCTCATATAATGTGTATTTTATTCACGTTACAAGTAATTATCGAGTCGTTCTTCATCTAAGATTTATTAAAATATTGCAAATCGCAAAATTTTTGGTCTAAATGTGTCTTTCCGAGAGTATTTTGAGTCGCCAAAGTCAAAAATCAGGCTCATTTTTCACGATAATGAACGGTTTTAAAAATTCGTCCTCATGAACATTTGACAAATATCTTAACATTAGAAATTCGCGCGAAAAACGATTCACATTTTGCTTCAGCAACCTTGAAAGTCCGTATGAAACGTCATTCTAACCGAATATATTATCGTACGGATATTATAGTAGAACTTTTATCTGTTTCAAATATATCTCGTATGACGTTTAATTTCCTTCCTTTCTTGTTATTGTCAATCTCGTAGTAATCGCTATATAAAAGCAAGAAGATCATGACTTATAACTTTATATTGGAAGTACTAGTAGTTCTGAAAAATTGCTTCATCATGTTTTCACGAAAGAAAAACAAACGTGTAAAAATACATAGGTAATAAGTAATACATAGGAATTTACATGGAAATAACAATTCTGAGGATGATTCTTTTGCTTATTTGGCTAATCCTATGCGTGAGTGGGAGCGAAGATTCTCTAAATTTAAACGCTAACTGTAAATAATTCTCTAAAAGTAAAGAAAAACTAAAACGAAAACTCTATTGATCGACCCCCTCTCCAATTATAAACTGGACCTTTCAAAGGTCAAAAATCGTTGATTTATTTATACAATGATTATAGAGAAAAATACATAAAATTCCGAATCATTCCGATAAGTTTATAAACTTGTGATCATTCGATCGATACTTGCAACAATTATTAAATTTTGCAAACAACTATTACAGGTTGCTGAATGACACTGCTAAAAAAAGTTTGCAAGTAAACATTGTCGGCGTATAATCTGCTAAAACCGTGAATCATGCGTACTTACTAGCGTTTTGAAATTGAACAGAAGATATGAATAATTATACGGTATTACTAATAGACAAAAATATCTTCATTGACTAGTTTCTATCTTTACATAATCTTTTTGTGATCTTCTAAAATTGCATTATATCTGAAATACTTGATAATAGAAATCTGAGATTTGCATTTTGTTTAATGAAGTGATTTAAAAGATAGTACAAATTCGATCGCTTGGATTGATTTCATTTGTTACGTTCATTTAACGTTTAACATACAATTAAGCCAAAATGAATCACGATTAATTATCTAAAGTTTAATATGTAGAACTCTATTTAATTGCAGAAGCGAACACGTAGAATATGTTTTTCACTAAGTACATAGATCCATGGCGACGAAGTTCAACAAAACAGTTATATCTTTATACAACTATGACGACAAAGAACTATCGTACCATAAATCATTGTAAATATTATCGTTGAGACTTGATTTGACAGAGTAGGAGTGAAGCATGGGGTCACTAACATTAACCTTATCTTTTTATTTACATGCATTATAGATACGAATCAGACAAAGTTTCTTTTTCGTGATTTTCCATTCCACGTGATTTCTATCTTCTACGCCGAATCTATTTCCGAAACATTTCTTTCTTTTGCTTTTTTTATACACATACATGGTTGATCGGTAATCTGATAATAACATTAACTGTAAAATTGACCACAATGAACGAGAGGTTAACTCTGAAAGTTGAACGACCTAATTTTCCATGTAACACTCGCTCCTGTAATTGTCGCCTTAACAAGGATAGATTAAAGATTAATTAATTTCAATGTGAATAGCTAGGACTGTCGGCACAATTAATATCGTAGTTCTCTTATCTGATTTTACGTCGTTCGTTGTCAGCATATTTGTTGAAACGTTATAAAAATGGGGAACGAACTGTTAGGGAAGAAAAAATTGCGATAGATGATCTGGAAATGCACTATCGAGTTTAAGTGCACAGTAATTACATAATTTTTCTTTTATTTCGTCTATTCACACAAGTGTGCAGTTTCTATTCGACGAAATAGCGATGACTGCATCGCAACCGCAACTAGTTTCATGCATAAGCGACAACAAATTGTCGTGTCATATTTATTTTGTTCTCTTATCAGATGGTGTCACTTTATTGTATAATAACTTATAACCTTATATGCAACATTGCAGGATTTGCTATAGATACCGATTATCGTACAGCGTATAAATGAAACCAAAATATTCTCGCATAATTGCCGTGACTCGAACCTATCAGCACAAAAATTCCAATTACATTCTCAAAAGGAATTCTGTGTTTTATTCATTTTAATCATTTCCCTATTCAACAGACGAATAAAAAACGTAATATTCACTATGAATATGAATTATTATATAACATATAAAGAGAGCAGTCGAGGTATAAGATCGAAAAATTCATTTATAAAAGAAAAAATTCATTAAATTTCTAATTTTAAATAGTGGAACATACTTGAGAAATTCTAACGTATAAAAATAGCAATCAAAATATAGGATCAGGAGATTTATAAAAAATAAAATAAATTTCTAATTTTAAATACTAGGATGTACCTGGAAATTTTTCAGCGCCATGTTTCAATTACTCTTATAACCTTAAATTATGAAATTCTATAATATTGTGCGGCCAAGTGCTTTTAGTCATCTTTCTGTAACTTGAAAAACTCTTTCATTCCGACGCAGCTCCTAATCGTAGATAAATGATTTTTGTTAGAGATTCAAGCAGTATACTGTATTTTAATTAGCACCTCTGCGACGGCGCGATTGTGATACCGTATTGTCAATGTGGCGCCTCGTAAGGCGTCTTTGGATGCAGCCGCACAATCGTATACCTAGAACCTCTAACCACGTGTATAACAATTTTCGCAACGTCATGTCGATTATCCTGTTCCGTAAGTTACAATTTTCTCTCCTCTTGTTTTCTGAGAATCGTTGACGCGTAGAAAGAAATTTACATAAATTGGGGTTTATTATCGCCACGAGGAACGTAAAAATTAATCTCAAATATAGATACGTCTTACGTGGCAATCAAAATTAAATGTCTAAATGAAACATTTCCAAATTTAAGACACACATTTGAAGCCAATATTTCAAGCATAAAGTGATTTGCACTTGCCACGTAATAGCGATATCTAATTTTTGGCACAATGCAACGTCATTTTTTTAAATGCATCGCGAATAAAAATATAAACAAACACGGGATTAAATTATTAAATACAGTGAACGCTTGAATGGTAATAATAATGGCACTCCGTGTAATAAAAGAGTATGTACTACTGACATATAAACTGTCTCGGAATATAAATGTGTAATTTACGCGCAATTTGACCAGATGTCGTGAGTCAAAGTTGTTCTACCGGTTTCTCGGTTATCTTGCAATGAATGATCAATGGCGAATGAGATTTCAATCTGCATTGACAATGAGTAACACGAAAGTGTAGGTTGTTAAAATTAATATGTCATTACTGTACTCCAATTCGAAATATTTTTTTTCTTTCTTAATATATACATATGTACCTAATTTAGTATTTATTGGAATCTCTTTATGTCTCGGATTACTTTGAAACCTTATTTATATTTTATATATAAATTGTTTAATTACATATATAATAATAAAATATTATATATAAATTACATAAAATATATATACTCACACTATATATATTCAAATATATGTACAAATATATTTACAAATTAAAAATTATTTTTTTATCGAATCTACAGTAAAAATTATTATAGAATCACGAATACTCATATATATATATATATGTCGGAGATGAAAGAACACCGGAGTCTTTGGAATTTTGGTTAATCCCGCAACATTGTAACCTAGAGTCTACTATAGCTGTAATTAAACAATTGTAGTTATTCAATCCGATTGTAATTGTTCGAGAGTTGTGATAATGAGCTTGGGCTCGAACGTAGCCGCGGTCACGGGATGAACGCTTTGTCTAACAAAGGCATGGAATAATTCTATAGCTCTCCTTAAAAAGGAAATAGTTGTAACACTCGACAGTAAACATTCCAACGGTCTCTGTCCCGTAGCTCGCCACACGCAGACCCTATTCTTCGAGTAAAATGATTGCCAGATGTCAATGCGTCTCCGCAGTACATGTTCAGCTAGCCCGAGGGCCTGTTATAAATCTTAAGATTTAGTCAACTAAAGTCCTTCGAACAGACAAACGGTCTTTGTCCCAACTACGGGAAAATAGGGAAGACCTATTTTTCAACGAGCGGCGTCTCCCACTAGCAACTTTCTCTCGTGGGCGGCTAGCATCTCTTTCTAACCACCGGTATCTCGTGTCCTTAGACACACCCCAATATAGTTTTCCTTTGTGGCATCATCGGAACGGGAAAGGCA